CTTTAGCTGACATTGATAAAAATATTCACTGATATTTATACTTACCACTCAAAAAGAATAATAAGGTCCTTTCTGTGTATGGTAAATGTGCTACATAAATCTTCTGCCAACTTAATTCCCAAATGTTGGAAATATGAAAAACTGTCACATATATTATATCCTCCTAGAAGTTAGTAATTCTTTTTCTGCTTTGACCATCAATGTACAGTTTTGTCAGCATCAAATATCACTAAAAACCTAAATACTCCTTGAAGAATAACTTCAGCCACCTAAACTCACTACCAGCTAGGTCAAAGTGCTCTTGTCCAATATTCAAACTTACGGAAAAGGCGGTCACTACAGAGCATTGGAGGAAATCTGATATCCAGTGCCCCATTATAAAAACCTGGCACATGGCATCAATTAAACACCAACAACAAATTCTACCTAAAGCTAACATTTTTTTCAATTCTCCATTTCTCAGAAAATAAATGGGAGAAAAATGGTCCACTCAAGCAAGTTTGATCACCAAACTGGCATTTCTTTTCCATTTACTCAAATAAATGGAAAGAAAATGTTGCATGTTCACCATTTATAAAGCATTTTCTAACAGAAATGGTTTTTAAATGGTGCTGAAAAAATGGCTTTCGAAAATTGAACGATAGAGAAATGTAAGAAAAATGCTTTTGAAATGAAAAATTGAAATAAAATGCTGAATGAATGGAAATAATTAAAATGGAAAAATACCATTTCTTTTTGCTATGGGTAGACAAACTCCAAAAATGAAGTTAACAGAAGTAAGAAATTGAGACTGAAAAAGACTCCAAAAAAAGAGTCAGCGCATGCGCAGATACACAAAAAATCTCGATTTTTTATGGGTCTACAAAAATTGTTCATGTAAAGTTTAAGAAAGTTAACAGCAATTATATCAATACATTGAAATAGTACATTAAAGACGTCTGAAGGGATCGTATTTGTTAGATTTTTTATTTTATTTGCAAAAAGAGAGATATTTACTTTCAAATTTCACCTTTCAAGTCTGATCAATTACAGAGAAAATTAAACATTTAGGAATTAAATATGTGTGATAAAAGGGAACAAGCAAATTCAAAGAATTGGGGTCCCCCGCTCTCGGTGTCTTTGTGGGTGAGATGTTATTTTTTTTATAACATAATGTGTGTAATATGAACATCTTATCATATGTCATTTATTTAGAAAGTTACATTGAAGTTGATTTATTTAAGTATGAAAACCCTAATCCTGACCGTTAAAAGTTATGTCCAAAGTAATTTTTTTTTTAAAAAATAAGTCGGCTCCAAGGTCAAGATCAAAGGGTCAAAGTTGTTGATATCCAATGAAAGGTTTTCTGAAAAGAATAACATATGTGAAGTATGAAAGCCCTAGCCCTTACTGTTCAAAAGTTATGGTCAAGGTTAGAGTTTTTTTCATAAGTACGTAAATCTTAAAGGTCAAGGTCAAAGGGTCAAAGTTGTTGATATGCAATGAAAGGACTTGCCACAAAGAATACATATGTGAAATATAAAAATCCTAGTATCTAGCGTTCAAAACTTGTGATCAAAGTTAAAGTTTTTTTTAAAAGTTGTTAAAAACTCCGATGTCAAAGGGTAAAAAGGGTAAAAGTTGTTGGTATCCAATCAAAGGTCTTCTCAAAATAATTACATATGTGAAGTACGAAAGCCTTAGCCCTCACCGTTCAAAATTTATGGTGGTCAAGGTTTAAGTTTTTTCATAAGTGCGTAAATCTCCAAGGTCAAGGTCAAAAGGTCAAGGTTGTTGGTATCCAATGAAATGTCTTGCCACAAGGAATAAATATGTGAAATATAAAAGTCCTAGTATCCACTGTTTAAAAGTTGTGACCAAAGTTAAAGTTTTTAAAAAGTAGATAAAACTCCAAGGTCAAGGTCAAAGGGTAAAAGTTGTTGGTATCCAATCAAAGGTCTTCTCACAAGGATTACATATGTGAAGTACGAAAGCCTTAGTCCTCACCGTTCAAAAGTTATGGTCAAGGTTAAAGTTTTTTCATAAGTACGTAAATCTCCAAGGTCAAGGTCAAAAGGTCAAGGTTGTTGTTATCCAATGAAAGGTCTTGCCACAAACGTGAAATATGAAAGTCCTAGTACCTACTGTTCAAAAGTTATGGCCAAGATCAAAGTGTGGCATTTTTTGTAAAAGTATGTCTAACTCTAAGTTCAAGGTCAGTAGGTCAAATTTGGTGGTACCCAACGAAAGGTCTTGTCACAAGGAATACAACTGTGAAATATGAAAGCCATAGCTCCACTAAATCAAAAATTATGGTCAAGGTTAAAGTTTTTTCATAAGTACGTAAATCTCCAAGGTCAAGGTCAAAAGGTCAAGGTTGTTGTTATCCAATGAAAGGTCTTGCCACGAACAATTAATATGTGAAATATGAAAGTCCTAGTACCAACTGTTCAAAAGTTATGGCCAAAGTAAAAGTTTGGAATTTTTGTATAAAAGTATGTCAAACTCCAAGGTCAAGGTCAAAAGGTCAAATTTGGTGGTACCCAAAAAAAGGTCTTGTCACAAGGAATACACATGTGAAATATGAAAGTCATAGCTCCACTAAATCAAAAGTTATTGGCAAGGTTAAAGTTTTTGTGACGGACAGACTGACCGACTGACAGACTGACGGACAGACGGACAGACAGACAGACGAATGAGATTTAATGTCCCCTCGCTTTCGCGAAAGCGGGGGACAAAAATCTGTAATTATAATGAATAATATACAAGATATATGTTGTAACTGTTAAAAATTGATCACATTTTATCACCATCATTATTTAATTTTTATGTAATAGTTATCACATATGAACATTGTGAACAGATATCATCATGAAAACATTTTTAGAACTTTAATCTATTTGCTAGCTTGTGCATTTGAACAGCCAACTTGTATTTGCGGTTAGGGGGGGGCATGGATAACTTTGTTGAGGCAAGGGGTATGGGGGGCAGCCTGAAGGCCCCCAGTGGGTCCAGGGCGAAGCCCTGGTGGGGGCCCAGGGGGCAAAGCCCCTGGAAGCTCCTGGGTTTTTGTGTATTTTAGAGTAAAACCAGGCACAATAATAGTGCTTATTTTTTATTTATTTTTAGCTCACCTGAGCCGAAGGCTCAAGTGAGCTTTTCTGATCAAAATTTGTCCGTTGTCTGTCGTCGTTGTCGTTGGCGTTGTTGTCGTTGTCGTCGTTGTCGTTGTTGTCGTCGTAAACTTTTCACATTTTCATCTTCTTCTCAAGACCACTGGACCAATTTCAATCAAACTTGGTACAAAGAATCCTTGGGTAAAGGGGAATCAGGTTTGTTCAAATGAAGGGCTGGACCCTATTCCAAGGGGAGATAATTATGAATTAGAGAAAAATTAATGGCATATTTAAAAAATCTTCTTCTCAAGAACCACTGAGCCAGGAAAGATGAAACTCATGTGGAATCATCCTCAGGTAGTGTAAATTCAAGTTTGTTCGAATCATGACCCCTGGGGTTAGGGTGGGGCCAAAATGGCGGATCAAAGCTTAACATTAGAATATATAGGAAAAATCTTTAAAAATCTTCTTCTCAAGAACCACTGGGCCAGGAAAGATGAAACTCATGTGGAATCATCCTCAGGTAGTGTAGATTCAAGTTTGTTCAAATCATGACCCCCGGGGGTAGGTTGGGGCCATAATGGCCGATCAAAAATTTACATAGGAATATATAAGGAAAATCTTTAAAAATCTTCTTCTCAAGAACCTTTAGGTCAGGAAAGATGAAACTCATGTGGAATCATCCTCATGAAGTGTAGACTCAAGTTTGTTCAAATCATGACCCCCAGGGGTAGGGTGGGGCCATAATGGCCGATCAAAAATTTACATAGGAATATATAGGGAAAATCTTTAAAAATCTTCTTCTCAGGTACCACTGGGACAGGAAAGATTAAACTTATATGGAAGCATCCTTAGATAGTGTAGATTCAAGTTTGTTCAAATCATGACCCCGGGGGTAGGGTGGGGCCAAAATGGCGACTAAAGTTTTACATAGGAATATAAAGGAATGATCTTTAAAACTCTTCTTTTCAAGTACCACTGGGCCAGGAAAGATTTAACTTATGTGGAATCATTCTCAGGTAGTGTATATTCAAGTTTGTTCAAATCATGACCCCCGGGGGAAGGGTGGGGCCAAAATGGCAGATCAAAGTTTTACATAGGAACATATAGGGAAACCTTTTAAAATCTTCTTTTCAAGTACTTCAAAGCCAAGCTTCATTATATTTATAAGGAATCATCCCCACGTAGTGTAGATTCAAGTTTGTTCAAATCATGACCCCTTTGGTGGGAGGGATGTTAAATTCAAGCCCCCCCCCTCCCAGTTTACTTTCAGTTCTGATCTGATCTGTGCTTTTTCCTACCCAATTGCTCAGGTGAGCGATGTGGCCCCTGGGCCTCTTGTTGTTTTAAAAGTGGCGTATAGTTTCGGGAGTTTGAATAATAATTGTATTTAATGTTTCTCAATTCTCATTGTATTGTAACCATGCCATCATAATAAACGATTTACTTACTTATTACTTACTAATAGTGGTATTGGTTAGCAATGTACCAAAGTACGCCGAGTTTAATACTAGTTATATCATACTTTGTAGGGGGGGCCAGCCCCTGGAAGCTCCTGGGTTTTTGTGTATTTTAAGAGTAAAACCATGCGAATAACATGGGTTTGGTTGGTTTTCTACCAAAATGTGGCATTATAAATATTAGTCACACCATACTTTGAAAATTTTAGGGGGGGGGGGCTTGGCCCCTTATGCCCCCCTTAAATCCGCCAGTGCCAATATTCACCAATATAAGACAGTTCAATACATTTAACCCTTTATCATATAAATTAACATTGATTAACGAGGTCGCCAAGGCTAGGAGATAAAAATCACACAACTTGTTGGATAAAAATCATATCCAACCAACTGCAAACCACATGTAAGATCATATATATGTTATATACACATTTAATATATTTGTCAGAGATAAAAAGAAATTCATGAATGAAGAGGCGAGAGAAATGGAAAGGACAAGTAAGGAAGAGGGGGATTCCAGGCCCAGAAAAGTTGAGATCTCGAGGTCACAGGTCAGGCCTGGTGAAGTTGAGGGGTCAGAGGTCGGGCCTGGTGAGGGGTCAGAGGCCCTGCCAATAAAACCCAGCAGTGCCAGCAGTACGAGTATAGCCTCTAGTTACTTCAACAACAAAATCCCAATACCAGAGGATGAAGACGTAAGATTCACTCAATCAGTATACAGAATGTCTAGTCCATAAACAAAATGTAAACAAGATTATCCTATTTTTTGACTTGTTTTGCTGCTTTTTTTTTTCAAACACTACTTTTTACTTTTGGAAATATTCATCCTTCCTTCCCCCATCTTACACCCCTACTCCCCCACCAAAATAATATTTTTCCACCTTTTCTTTAACTTTAATGAGGAAAATGTTCTTTCAAATAAAAGATTAAGAGATGAAATATGCATTTCTCAGATTGGATTATCATCTCTGAAATATTTAATCCTGTTCATAATTTCTTTGATTTTCAGCATCCAGTGTTCAGCTTTAGAAAACTCTGGGCCTTCACTGGTCCAGGGTTCCTTATGAGTATTGCCTATCTGGATCCGGGAAATATTGAGTCGGATCTCCGGTCCGGATCTGTCGCTCAGTTCAAGGTCAGTATCTCATTAGTATTAACGAGCTTTGGAGTAATTAGTGGATCAATTAGATTTAAAGATATGATTAATTATTTTATAAATATCATTTTAATAAGATTTGCTTATAACCACGCTATTCATGCTTTTTACTCATCTAAAATATGAAATTGATTTGAAAGCATTTTAGTTAGTGTAAACTCACATGTAGAAGTATACATGGAGAAACTTGGGCTAATTTAAAGCTACTTGACAATGAAGCTACAGGGAAGTTAATAATATATTAAAATATAACCAAGGGTGAAATGCAAAAAAGTCATATTTGCTATGGATACCAATGTCAACATATCTGTTTTAGTTGCTATGGAGACTGACATTGGCCTATTTTGTTATAGTTACTATGGATACTAATGTCTGTATATTTTGTTATAGTTGCCATGGATATTGATGTTGGCATATATTGTTACAGTTGCTATGGATACTGACGTCTGTTTTTAAAATTTTTAAGTTGCTATGGATACTGACGTCTGTGTATTTATGTTATAGTTGCTATAGATACTGATGTCTGTTTTTTTTATTTTACAGTTGCCATGGATACTGACATCTGTTTGTTTATGTTACAGTTGTTATGGATACTGATGTCTGTTTATTTATGTTACAGTTGCTATGGATACTGATGTCGGCCACGTTTCTGGGTCTCCTGATGCAGAGGCTGTCGGCACGCCTGGGGGTGGTGACAGGAATGCACCTGGCTGAGGTCTGCTACAGAAGCTATCCCAGGATTCCACGCTTTGTGCTGTGGTTCATGGTGGAAATAGCCATTATTGGTAAGGTGCTGTCAAGACTTTTATGGGGGTGTGGTTTGTCAGAGACAACCAATCAAATTCATCATTCTTGAGATACAATATCATACAGGATTCAAGGACATATCAAAGGACAGTTTCTTCAAGGTCGTTTTGATAATGCCTGAAATACTTGTCGTATATTACTTTATTAAAAAAGTGTCTAGTAAGTGAGTTGCAGTCAACTGAGGTTTTTCCAACAGACTTGGAATTGGAAGGAAATGGAGTCTTTATTGTTCCTAGACAGTAGTTGTTAAGTCAGGCCAAGCTTAGAAAATTCTTTGTTTGCAGTTGCCGACCTATAATTTTTAGTCTGGGTAGGTAGATAGGCAATTTTTTTTTTTTTTGAAAAAAAATTGTTTCCAGATTTTTGTTAGGTAACATAAAATAGAGTTTTTCATAGGCCTACTATACATGAATAAGCTGCACACTGGTATAAACTAATGATTGATGAAGACAAAAATTGAAAATGAAACAGTTTTAATATCCTGAAAAATTGGAGAAAAAATAATATTACAAAATGGCTAAAAAAAAGTTTGGGTCGGGTGCATTTTCAGTGAGCCGGTCAGCAACTGCAAAGAAACAATATTTTATTTTAGGCCTCATTATAAAAATATAATTTTACGATTTTTATTCCAAACTGCATGATAGTGCACTATTAATACACTGTACCATCATAGCAGTTTTATATTTTTGATTTGTTTACAGGATCAGATATGCAGGAAGTGATTGGAACAGCTATAGCATTTTACCTGTTATCTGACGGAAAGTAAGTTTTCCTTATTTACAACACTTAATCTGATTCAATCATATAAAAGATTTCTACCAGTTATTGACAAACAAAACTGATTCAGTCATGAAAACATTTCTACCAGTTATTGACAAACAAAACTGATTCAATCATGAAAACATTACTACCAGTTACTGACAAACAAAACTGATTCAATCATGAAAACATTACTACCAGTTACTGACAAACAAAACTGATTCAGTCATGAAAACATTTCTACCAGTTATTGACAAACAAAACTGATTCAATCATGAAAACATTACTACCAGTTACTGACAAACAAAACTGATTCAATCATGAAAACATTTCTACCAGTTATTGACAAACAAAACTGATTCAATCATGAAAACATTTCTACCAGTTATTGACAAACAAAACTGATTCAATCATGAAAACATTTCTACCAGTTATTGACAAACAAAACTGATTCAATCATGAAAACATTTCTACCAGTTATTGACAAACAAAACTGATTCAATCATGAAAACATTACTACCAGTTACTGACAAACAAAACTGATTCAATCATGAAAACATTTCTACCAGTTATTGACAAACAAAACTGATTCATTCATGAAAACATTTCTACCAGTTATTGACAAACAAAACTGATTCAGTCATGAAAACATTACTACCAGTTACTGACAAACAAAACTGAATCAGTCATGAAAACATTACTACCAGTTACTGACAAACAAAACTGATTCAGTCATGAAAACATTACTACCAGTTAATTACTGACAAACAAAACTGATTCAGTCACGAAAACATTACTACCAGTTACTGACAAACAAAACTGATTCAGTCATGAAAACATTTCTACCAGTTATTGACAAACAAAACTGATTCAATCATGAAAACATTACTACCAGTTACTGACAAACAAAACTGATTCAGTCATAGAATTATTTGTACTACAGACATGTCTTGATTCAATCATATCACTACTAAGTCAGAAACGTACTGACATTCCCATTTTTTACTGACAAACTTAGAAAATTACTGACAATGTGCTGTCGTTACTGTAAAACTTAGACAATTACTGACCCTTTTACTGCCGGTGCTGATAAACTTAAAAAAGTGCTGACAATCTTAGTCGGTACTGAAAAACTTAGACAATTACTGACCCGTTTACTGTCCCTGCTGAAAAACTTAGACAAGTGCTGACATTTACTGATAATTACTGTCCCTATTGTTCTCGGTCTCGGGGAGGCTGCAGTGGTGTGAAAATGACTGTGTGTTATACTTTGTATTTAAAACAGTCTTATTTTAATTTTTGATGAAAAAAAATCCCTGGCAGTTATTATTTTTTTTAAATCTAAATATTTTTGTTATCTGTAAAATAATTCAGAATATGAATTGAAATTAACTATGCGTAAATCAAGTTTAAATTTATGTGTTGAATATATCTATCCCTGTTCAATTAAAGAATTAAAATTAATTAATCATCAAGTTAATTTTCATCTATTTATTTCTTTGCAGACAGATATCTGACTTTAATGTAAAGTCCCCCCCCCCCCCCCCCCCCCCCCCCCGTTTTCACGATCGGAAAGTTGTATCAATTTTCTTTTCATAAACAGGACAGATGTCTCTTGCTAAAAAAGGAAATCTTCTAAATATTGAATAATTACTGATAGGTAATTCAGTTTCCTAATGTTCTCGGACATATCTGTACAAGTCATATAATTAATGTAACATGAATCGGTCACCCATCCAAGGGTTAAACAGGCTCGCCGTTGCTTAACTTGCCTGAAATAGAGGGAGACTCTACCGCATTACCAGAAAAGCTAGCTCACTAGCAAAGCAGTATAAGTTCCCTATATACTGTCCGCTACAATTATATACCCCTGTTTAAGATTTCCGGTTTCATTTGCTCATACGGGAGTTCCCCTATTGAACAGTGCAGTGTTCAATATCTAAACTTAATTTTGTCACTTAAAACATTATATCTAAATGAATGGTTGGTTGATCGATTACGCAGGGTTCATAAATACTCAATATCTGTAAGTCCGAGACTAATAAATAATTATCAGACTAGTAATAAAGATTCATGTACTAGCAATTATAGTAATCTTATGGAAAATATTTATATTTACTAGGTCAGCGGTAAGACTAATATTAGCAGTAGCACCATTTTTCTCCAATATTTTTCTTGTCTCTCTCCCTCCCTCTCTCTTTCTCTTAAAGATACAAACAGTATTGACACTTTAAGTTACTTAAATACTTGACAAGTGCTCCGTTTATTCACATTGCCGAGGGGGTTAGATCACTATTTAGTTTTTGAACTTAATTTTTAAGTATTTTTTAATCATGATTCAATTTTAACAAAAATATTACATGTTTCATAACTTCCAATTTCCTCCTGTAGCTATCGGTGAATTGGAATTAATTTAATTTTATGTGCTGAAATTAAATTTCATCTCATTAAAGTAGGTAGGCATAGGGGGTGTTATGATGTTAACGTAATAAAAAGGCAGAGGGCGGACTTGTCTAGTAAACTATTTTACGAAGTAGTGAAATTGGAAGTCATTAGTCCGTCGAACCAGTGCTCACAAATATTTATTCTGAACACTCTAGCATACATGTATAACCCCCCCCCCCTACACACACGTTACATGAAAAAGTATCTAGTACACCGGTACTTGAATATGAATTTTATAAAAATGTGCAAGTTTTGTGAATGATGCAAATTTCTTTGTCCATTTCATCAATTTATACCCGTAATCATTATTTATTTGATTCATGTTTCATTAACATCTTTCCTTTTCATAAGAGTAAGATTATTCGCTAACTGTAGGTGCCCATTATCTTCCGTGTTGAGTAACCATTCATCTCTCTTTCTCTCCCTCCTCTCTCTCTCTTTCTCTCTCTCTCCAAAAAATCAATATCGACCCAGGCAAAGTTTAAAATATATTTAAACTCCGGCTGTTTTTTTTTTTACTGTCATAATATTCTGCATATAAATTGTGTTTGATTTTTAATTATTCTTAATTACTGATAAAAAGTTGAGGAAATATACTATGAACTATTTTTTTACTTGATTTGATAATCAAACAAGTTCCTCACTCAACTGTCCCACACACACACTAACACGACTTAACAAAAAATATTAGGAACCAGTAATTTTTACAAAACTTTGGATGTAATGTATCCCTTCTCATATTTATTTTTGCTTACATCTTTAAACAATATGTGCCTTTCCCCGGTTGGTTTTTACATGAATCTTCTTTTTTTCATTAATCGTTAATTTTTTCTTACGTCGGTATATTAAAAAAAATATTTATTTAATCTAAGAAGAGGTTGAAGGTTTGTAGATTGCATATTACGTATGTGTTGGTGTTGAATTTCTCAAATTCAGACTGTCTTGAAGAAGAGTCTACCTGTCGCCGTATTGTTGCATAACTAACTTCCAGTGAAATCCGGCGAGTGGTCTTCTGTATAATGCTGCAGTGACACCTATTGTCTTCTTTACCCGCTACCGTACACACTCGGATCGCCTCAGGCGATTTCTTTTACACACAGGTGCTTCACCAAGTTTCCGATTGTATGTTGAATGATTATGTAATTCGGCTGGATACCAGCTAAACGACTTGAATAATTTTTGACGAATAAAAAGCACAGTGTTACTGTAAAATCATAATACTGGTTTCGATACCGAACAAAGCTATGAAACGTCGATTTATTAAGTTAATTTATTATGTTTACTTTAATTAAATTTATTAATTTTTTTTTTTACCTAAACAGATAAAAAAGAGTACAAACTAAACACGACAGTATTAATTGTGTGTTCTACTTAAGTAAAATAAATAAGTACATGTTCATCGTTCTACATTTTGTTCGCACGTGCCCCCCCCCCCCCTTTTAATTTGAAATGTGAACGTCTACCGACACTCTAATTGGAAAGAACATTGATATTAATTTCTATCAAAGTTTGTTTCAGGAGTATGCATTAGACGAATGATGATAATATAAAATGTCATAGTTTTACATGTATTTGAATTAAAATAACACTTTCAGGTGGGGTTCCAGAAAATCCAGATTCGAGAATCAGCTAAAAGATGTACATTATTTCAAAAGAATAGTGCGGACAGTAACTAAATCAATGAATGTCAAAGGATCAATGATCAATCCAGGCACCCCTCCCCCTGCCCAATAAATAAAAAAAATATTTAAATCCCCCGTCTGTCTTTTAATTGTCCAGTGGTTTCTTCTTGCAAATGCTTGGATTCGGGTACTATGTTTGACTGCACAAAAACAAATGTGGGCGCCCCCCACATTATTAAAAATTTTACATAATATGAAAACTTTAACAAACGCCTTTCCTCAAAAGAGGGCACCCACGGCCTCACCGCGCGCTATGAGTTTATTAAAATTATTCAAACTAATTTAAATAAATCAAATTAAAATTGAATAAAACACATCTAGCCTAACAGTTTAATTCTTTAAATTAATATTAAAGAAAGTCAGGGAGTTAATGTTAATTTAAAAAAAAAATAATATAAAATGCAAGTCATGTAATAACATTGTTTTATTATAAAAAGGAAAAGACCTCCTTAAAATTTCATATCTCACTACTAAACGAAGATTTTTATTTTTTTTTTTAATTGCTTATCTTTTTGAAGGTTTTGAAATTTTATCCCTTCTCTTGCAAATATTTTTTTTAAATCAATTTTCTATAAATCGATCAAATAAGCTTCTTTTTTTCAAAGACATCACCTGGACATAGTTTAAAATTATATGAAAAAACAAATAAATAAAATAATAATCTATGTTAAAAAAAAAAATCGATTCAATCAATTCCACACCACTGCAGCCTCCCGGAGAGCAAGAACAATAGGGACAGTAATTATCAGTAAATGTCAGCACTTGTCTAAGTTTTTCAGCAGGGACAGTAAACGGGTCAGTAATTGTCTAAGTTTTTCAGCACCGACTAAGATTGTCAGCACTTTTCTAAGTTTATCAGTACCGACAGTAAAAAGGTCAGTAATTGTCTAAGTTTTACAGTAACGACAGCACATTGTCAGTAATTTTCTAAGTTTGTCAGTAAAAAATGGGAATGTCAGTACGTTTTTGACTTAGTAGTGTATAAATCCGTGTGCTACTGAAATACAGTATTTACTATATGTTTTACTTCAGAATCTATACAGCATATTTTTAGCTAACCTAAGCAGAAAACTCAAGTGAGCTTTTCTGATAACCCATTTTATTATATACCCATCAATTTCCTGGTTTTTGTTACTGTTAATTTTACAGAGTTTGATCCGATTTTCCGGATCACCACACTGTGGTTTTCAGAATCCATATCACCACTCTCTGAAACTGATGACGTAGTACGCAAAAACATGACGTTATTTTTCTTGCGCGTTAAAAAGTCCCTTGTTATTATGCTTTGTTTTATGGATAAAAATTATACAATTGAGCTCTAAAGTTTTATTCTGTTATATTTAGCTAGTTATAAGGGGGTATATAATAAATGTATCATTATAACAGTAACTTGATCCGAAGAGCCGTATCACGTCTCGTTGACAGGGGCGGATCATCAGATCAAACTCAACGCTTCGCGTCTCGTTAGATCTGATGATCCGCGCCTGTCAAATCGACGTGATATGACCCTTCGGATTAAGTTACTGTCATAATAATATATATGTCTGGCATCCATTTGTCAATCTGTTTAACTATCCATCCATTCAGCCGTTTGTCTGAAAATATTTTCAACTTCTTCTCAAAATTGTGGGGAAATATGACTGAATAATTGCCGACTTGGCATATAAACAATAATCATGCAATCAATCCATTTTCTAAAGAACCACTGGGATACATTTAACAAACTTACTACTGTAGCACAATATTTCTGGGTAAAGAGGACTCTTAATTTTAAAGATGAAAGGCCAAGCTCCCTTACTAGGGGATCAAGATTATAATAAAAAAAGGAAAAAAATGGGTAAGGTCATTTAAAATCTTCGTTATCTTCTCAAACACCACTGGGCCAGAAAAACTGAAACTTATGTAGATACATCCTCAAATAGTGTTGATTCTAAATTGTTGAAATCAAGGCCCACAGGGGAAGGGGGGATGGGGGTGCAGATTCAGAAATTCAGTGTTTTCATTGAAATATGATGGGAATAAGGGGAGAATCTCATGTGAACATGGTGAATTATGTATTTATAGTTTATTTTTCTTCAGGGATTCCCTTATATTTTTCCTTTTGGATTTCCCACATGAAATATTTCAAATAAGTTTCTGGGTTTTTTAAACTTTGGTCTACCGGATCCCCCTGTATGCGGGTGTGCTGATCACTATCGTAGACACGTTGTTATTTTTGTTTTATTTCGTCCTACAGGATCCCCCTGTATCTTGGCGTACTGATCACTATTGTAGACACGTTGTTATTTTTGTTTTATTATTTCCTACAGGATCCCCCTGTATGCGGGCGTGCTGATTACTATCGTAGACACGTTGTTATTTTTGTCTTTTTATTTTGGCCTACAGGATCCCCCTGTATGCGGGCGTGCTGATCACTATCGTAGACACGTTGTTATTTTTGTTTTATTTCGTCCTACAGGATCCCCCTGTATGCTGGTGTACTGATTACTATAGCGGACACCTTTACCTTCCTCCTTCTGGACAAGTACGGTCTACGTAAACTGGAGGCTTTCTTTGCATTCCTTATTTTCATCATGGCTGTCACTTTTGGATATGAGGTCAGAGTTGTATAAATGTGAATACTCTAGTGTACTTTTTTCCACGGTGTCACAATTCGGTGGAATCTCAATTTCTGTTGAACCCGCAGGTAGAGAATTACGCGGATTTCTTAGACTGTCCCTATGTACCTTGCATGTATTTTAAGTACGCTTAGACAATTAATACCACACTGAAAAAAGTATTTCTACAGTATTTTAAAGGTACATGCTACAAAAAAATTTTCTTATCCCCCATACAGAAGAGTTATACACTGGTATATTTTTCAATATTTCTATTCAGAATTTTTTGGCTTCAAAATTAAAAGGTAAAAAATAACTCAGAAACTCCATAGTGAGAAAACTTCATACATTTCTAAATTTTCTAAAATAAGAGAGGCACCTTAATTAGCAAGGATATTTGAAATTCAGAGGAAAAAAGTTTGTATTATATGACAAAGCTAAAGATAAGATTACAATATTTATTTAAAGTCGGGTACATCAACAGAAAAATACATTAGCTTTGAACATGTTGAATAGCTATATTTTTTGACTACATAAAAATGTTACATATAATACAACAATCATACATAAAAAACATGAACATGATGAAATGGTACAATGTATTGAAATATTATACGCTACTAAAATATCGATATGACTCTTGGATGCTTTACATTGACAGATGTCATTATTCATCACATTAAGAACAACAGGTAACAGCTTTTTAAAAAGCTTGCCTGACTAAATCAATCGATATCTGCATGAGAAGATTTTGAGCAATACTTTTGTGAGCTTATTAATAAAATATGTCTTTACTTTATATTTTGAGAACCTTAAGTAAATGAAATCTTGATTTTATAGAACTTGTTGAAGAATCATTTCTACACTACAATACTGAAGAGTTGTTATTCGTGGATTGAATGCTAGATGGAAAACTGAGATTTCAATAAAAAAAGAAGCACTTCATAAATTACATTTGTGAAAAACTTCTCAGATTTTCTAATAACTTTTGAGGTAAAGCTGAAATAAACTATAGTTACAGTCTATTGAAGACATGTACATAGTTACACGTCTGTTCAGTTTAGGTCTATGGTTTTACTACGCAGTTAAATTACCGGGTAAGGACGTCAAGTCTCAACTCTGATATCTTGACACGTTGGATATCTCAACATATTCCGATTTTCAATGACATGCAGTTGGTCACATGATCAGACTTAAAGCAAATAGCCGGAGACATTTGGAAAGTCTAGATTGTGACGTCATATGAAGTCGCTATGTTGCACTTCAATAACAAAGTCTAAATTGTGCATTTTTCTTTGTAATGTGAATAGAAATAAAGATATAAATATAAGAAATAAAATATCATATTTTAGAGTGTCATTGGGATATGACATGAACATGATGAAGTTGGTACATGATCAAATTTACTAAAACGTCATACGGGCGTTATAGAATTTGATCACTTAACTGACTTCATGTCATATCCCAATGACACTCTAAAAATGAAATCTTATTTCTTAAATATCTGTATAAGGAATTCATCAAATTCATATAGTTGGGGATCCAAAATAACTTCGCTATATATCCATGAATTCGCGATATCCGTGTGTTCATTCTAAACAAGTTTTACCGTACTTAACCCTTTGTGTGCGGGAACCCAATATATTGGGTCTGACGTCACAAACGCTTGCGTGCGGGAACCCAATATGTTGGGTCTGAGTCTGAAATTAGCGCTTCGTCACATAAAACGTCGTATAAAACGTATAAATGAGCTGTGAATTATTCAGAATCTATCAAAATGTATTATACAACTACAACACATTGAAAAATAGGTAATTAAGATGTGAAAATATGCGAATTATTTGTGAAATTGTGATTTAAAGTGAAGGTGTTTGGCGTTTGTTACGATGAAAGTCAGTCCGCTATTTTTGGAAACAGGGAAAAAACGCGCATGTAATAAATATCTACCAACTTGCTCAAATATAAAGGAAAATAAAGAAACAAATCCAAAAATAGTTAAATATCAATAATTCTAATAAATGTGTGTTAGTAGACTTAAAATTACTTAGAAATTTTCGATATTTTTGCAGAAAAACTCTGGTTAACTTGACTTGACCTTAACCTTGCGAAGTTCTTCCTGTTAAAACGAAAGTAGGATGCACATGCTACTGAACTTCAGTCTGAAGCATATCGAGAGCTTATATATGGTCGCCAAAGTTCTATATTTTGGACATACCGTGGTTATTATTTGTTTATTTGGTGTTTTGTAAGTAGACATACATTACATCGTCTAAATGAAAACAATAATGCGCGAAATTGAACCTGGAAAGTCACAGACGTTTTTCTTTTCCTCAGTGGCCGTGCACGTTGTTTACATACGTAAATCAAGCTTTGCTTTGAAATAAAGGTTTGCAAAAAATAATTTTAAGCATCTTGTTAATTAAAAGCATTTGTTTTTTAACAATAAATAAACAAATAAATAAGTAAATAATTCTTTTTTTAAATCTAAAGACCCATTTCAAAAATGTTGAAAGATAAAAAAGGTTCCACCTAATAAAAGTAATAAATGTGGAGGACCTTGAACATTGTAGAAAATTTTCCAATGAGTTATTGCATTAATAAGTGAGTGCAAAAGAGATATATAGAGAATATATATCCATCAACATATTTTTGTGATCAAGCAAAATTAATTCATGATACAGGTATTCGAAATATACACAATATGAATTTTATAACTGACAATCATTGAGTCAATTAAGTGGCCCTAATTACACCTAAAAATTCTGGTTTAAAGCTGTTTGATGTTCCATCTATTTGGGAAAACTTTCAAATATTTTCTTATAACAGTATATGATCAATTGTAAAATTTTTAGCACAATTAAAAATTTAAAATAAACTTGATTTTTTTCTATATAGTGTCTTCAAATGTAAGCTAGTTATCAGAAAAGATGCATTGATGCATTTGATATTGTGCATATACATGAAAATGGTAAAAAGTGATGAAAAAAATTTGAAGTGCTGATTTTCCCTGAAATGACTGTCATTTGTGTAAATTGTGGTATTTGTTTTATTTAAGTATTGAGTAAGTAATAAAATACCATTTTTATTTCCTTGATGAGGATTATATAGACTCTCAATAATTTCAAAACCAAATTATGTTCCAGGATCTTTGGTATCTTAGAGTTAGATTTCTTCAAGGCATTTACATACTCTAGTTTACATGGGACCTAATTAGTAAGTGAAAATAATTGGCACTACATGTATCAGAATTTTTTTAAACCAAGTTTAAGAACATGTATCAGGGAGAAATTTTCTTTTTCTTTAAAATAGACTTTTGCCAGAATAAAGCATGCGGATTAAATTGCACGTTTCCTCCACTTTTTATTTTTATTTTATAAAAAACCAAAAACAGTGAGACTGCCCCAACCTATACATCCACACACAAAATTATAAAATTCACTGGTTAAATAAATGGTATCTCTACAGTTTAAAATTAAGATGAATTGTCATTTTTGTAGGCATAAGAAGGAGATCAGAGTCTTTAGAATGAGTAATTTGTAAATTGTATGGACTTGCATGTACATCTGTTCAATAAATTACAATAAAGACTGGGTAATACAGCAAAACTCCTTTAGTACGAACACGAATATTGCCAATATACGGATATAGCGAAGTCAATTTGGATACCCAGCTAAATAAATATATGCCTGAATGATTGAATGAATACAGAAAAAAGGCTTAGATTTACTGTGAGAATTTTTTCTTAATGATGGTCAAAATTTTTTTTTCAAAAATGCAAATTCCTGTACAATTACTTATCAACAAAGATTACATTTTAGTCTCCAAAGATATGTTTATTTTTAAATATGAAAATATGAATAGTTACTAAGAATACAAAGAAATCCCATAGTGAAATGAAATATAAATTTCATTACTGTATACAGGGTTATTTTTGCCCCATGTTATTTTCACCCTTTTGAACTTGTGAACAATTTTGCCCTGTTTTAATTAAATTCACCCAGTCATAGTTCTGTTTAAGAAATTATGAGGTGTAATTTGAATTCGCCCCATTTTAAATTCGCCCAATCAAGGAGAGGGTGAAAGGGGCAAAAATAAAACGGGGGCTAAAATTTCCCTGTATACAGTATTAGGAATAATATTTTATGTTGAAGTAAAAATTCAGGCACATTTAAAACTTGTGTAACAGGAAAGGAGAAAATGTATGGTAACTATGGTTGGACCAGAAATTGAACTCAGGAACCCAGCTTCACTAGTCAAGTGCTCTACCGAATGAGCTACCCAGGTTGATACCCATAGCACAACCATAAAATATCCCTCCTTAAAGTTATCTTTATCCTTGCAGACACAACCCAAATTCTTATTAACCCCTCACAGGACTTTCACTTGCAAATCCAGAGGGGTCAATAGCATCGAATATGTAACAAGGAAGGAAAAATGTACGGCTGGACCGTGAATCTATGAAGGGGCCCCTGCATCACCGGTCAGATGCTCTACTGACTGAGCTTACATGACCCATACCATTAGACTTGCATAAACTTAAAAGTATTTCATAATATATTGATTGATATTATGGTACATATCTGTCAACCATCATTAACTAAAATCAATTGAAAAAAATCAAAACTGTTATTCACCAGTGAACACATTGAACAAAGTCATTTTTGAAAACATTATAAATGACTGTTAAAGGTGCTTAAATTTCTAAAATTTAAAACACTAGTTTTCCTGCTGGCAATTATTGTTGCCAGCCAGGAATAAAACTTCTAAAATAAATGCCACATTTCTTACAGAGTGAGAAGTACTGTGGGAGGAAAGTTGATGAATATGTAAACTTTACAAATAACAGGAGAAATGCATTTTCTTCAATAAAAGCAAAATAAAAAAAGATTTGAGAATTACTAGAGTATATTTAGGGCTGTTAGATACCAGTCATTAGAAAATAAGACCACTAAAACTTAGTGTAAATATTATTTTATTTTTTTTTTCAAATTTATTTAACATATTGACTGCTTTAATTTGAAAATGAATACTAGTACACATGTAACAGCAATTAGTTCATTGTTGTGCCAATTTGCTCCAAGATTTCCCAACCTCGAAAACTGCATATTCTTTGAGGATCATACTTTCTTATATGATTGCCAATATTTCTTAAAATAATCACTGGTTTTATATTTACAGGCTAATTGAATCTTCAATTTATACTCTTTTTAGTTAAAATCTGAAAAAAAAATCCATTAACGTAAATCAGAATTCACTTAAACCTACATGAATATATCCCTTACTAAGATAAGTATACAATGACTTTTCACAACATAACGGTTATATATAACTTCGACTTTATCATAGAGTTATATATATTGTTTAAATTAAATTTATTTTTAACATAATATTAAACTAAAATTGAATTTTTAAAGCAATTGATATATAATTTTTTTCATCAAAGTGCAATATTTTCTCTGAAAAATATAGTTAAAATGCTAAAAAGTCATTTTAAAATATTTTTTTTGAAAATTTGGTTTCCATGGCAACATAAAATGTTAGATTTTTTAAAAAAAATAGTATAGATTAAAAAACGCAACATTTGCTATATATTTGCCAAATTTCAAGCAAATTGGTTTTCAACAATTTGAGATATTTGCATTTTAGTACACCATTGTGATAATTTTGTTGATATTACAAAACAACTCAGTCCTGAGGTTACAGCACACGTAAAACAAGTCAGCACACAAAGGGTTAATATATAGTTACTGCGCTAAATTTTGAATACCGTGGTATTAATTTACACTATGTACGCGATCTTGAATTTTCCACGGAAATTTGTCCAAGTGTACTTAATATAATTATAAGGCATACAGTAACAATCTAGGAAATCCTCGTAATTATCTACCTGAGGATTAAACAAAAATTGAGATTCCGCAGGATAATGACCCTCTGGAAAAAAGTATGTCTACAGTACTCCAATTTATGTACATGTACAGTACTCAACTATAGGCACATTTATTTATTTTTATTTTGAACATTGGTTTTGTTGTGTCTATTAATGTTTTTGACTGTTTACAGTTATTTTAATTGTTAAGCCTGATCAGCCTACATTACTTAAGGGTATGTTTATTCCATACTGTTTTGTCTGTTTACAGTATGTAATAGTTAAGCCGGATCAGCCCTCATTACTTAAGGGGATGTTTATACCGAACTGTTTTGTCTGTTTACAGTATGTTATAGTTCAGCCTGATCAGCCCTCCCTATACTTAAGGGGATGTTTATACCGAACTGTTTTGTCTGTTTACAGTATGTTATAGTTCAGCCTGATCAGCCCTTCCTATACTTAAGGGGATGTTCATATCGAACTGTTTTATCTGTTTACAGTATGTTATAGTTAAGCTGGATCAGCCCTCCCTCATTAAGGGGATGTTTATACCGAACTGTTTTGTCTGTTTACAGTATGTTATAGTTAAGCGGGATCAGCCCTCCCTCCTTAAGGGGATGTTTTTACCGTACTGTTATATCTATTTACAGTATGTTATAGTTAAGCCGGATCAGCCCTCCCTATACTTAAGGGGATGATTATACCGTACTGTTTTGTCTGTTTACAGTATGTCATAGTGAAGCCTGATCAGCCCTCATTACTTAAGGAGATGTTTATACTGAACTGTTTTGTCTGTTTACAGTATGTTATAGTTAAGCCGGATCTGCCCTCTCTACTTAAGGGGATGTTTATTCCGTACTGTTTTGTCTGTTTACAGTATGTAATAGTTAAGCCGGATCAGCCCTCCCTCCTTAAGGGGATGTTTATACCGTACTGTGAGGATTGCGGGCCGGAGCAGGTTCTACAGGCCGTGGGGATTATAGGAGCCATCATCATGCCTCACAACATCTACCTCCATTCTGCCCTCGTCAAGGTGTGGATCTCTTCATTAATATCTTAATAAACATGGCACAAAGTTTATGCCAATTACATAGAAATTTCCTTGTCAGTAACTTATTAGTTTTCAAGATTTAAGCACAGAATCTTAATATTGATCCAGTTGTACATGTAGAAACAAGGCCCAAATATAATTGGAAATGCCTTTTTATAATAACCCATACCTTTATCATGGTGAGGGATATATTTTTTGCATTTTGCCTCTACTCTAACATTCAAAATATAAGAAATTGATGCACATATCTGTCATATTGCCTACTCAGTATTTCTCAGTCATCATACAGTATGTAACATAATTATCTCATCATACAGTATAACATAATTATTTCATCATACAGTATGTAACATAATTATCTCATCATACAGTATGTTACATAATTATCTCATCATACAGTATGTTACGTAATTATCTCAGCATACAGTATGTTACGTAATTATCTCATCATACAGTACGTTACGTAATTATCTCATCATACAGTATGTTACGTAATTATCTCATCATACAGTATGTTACATAATTATCTCAGCATACAGTATGTTACGTAATTATCTCATCATACAGTACGTTACGTAATTATCTCATCATACAGTATGTTACGTAATTATCTCATCATACAGTATGTTACGTAATTATCTCATTATACAGTATGTTAAGTAATTATCTCATCATACAGTATGTTACGTAATTATCTCATCATACAGTATGTTACATAATTATCTCATTAAACAGTATGTTAAGTAATTATCTCATCATACAGTATGTTACGTAATTTCCTCATCATACAGTATGTTACGTAATTATCTCATCATACAGTATGTTACATAATTATCTCATTATACAGTATGTTAAGTAATTATCTCATCATACAGTATGTTACGTAATTATCTCATCATACAGTATGTTACGTAATTATCTCATCATACAGTATGTTACATAATTATCTCATCATACAGTATGTTACGTAATTATCTCATCATACAGTATGTTACATAATTATCTCAGCATACAGTATGTTACATAATTATCTCATCATACAGTATGTTACGTAATTATCTCATCTTACAGTATGTTACGTTATTATCTCATCATACAGTATGTTACGTAATTATCTCATTATACAGCATGTTACGTAATTATCTCATCATACAGTATGTTATATAATTATCTCATCTTACAGTATGATACGTAATTATCTCATCATACAGTATGTTACATAATCAACTCATCTTTTTTTTAGTCTCGAGATGTAGATCGATCTCAGAGGGATCACGTCCGAGAAGCCAATAAGTACTTTTTCGTTGAGGCAGCCATTGCATTGTTCGTATCATTCCTCATCAATGTGTTCGTGACTGCAGTATTTGCAGAAGGATTCTATGGGAAAAATGTCACGGAAGTGGTAATGGTCAAATATTTAATTTTTTTTCACTCAATTGAGGAATTTTGTTGTATGTTTTGTTTTAAAATAATTTATGGAAATATCTATTAATGAGTGTTGTTTAATTTTGTTTTCAGTATGATAACTGTTTAAAAGTTGGTAACCCTCATGCGTCCATTTTCAATGTAAGTATGACAGGGTGTAGCTTCCTAACATTGGGAGTTAAAAGTCTTCCATGTTCATGATGTCGCTAATGTTGATCAAATTTGAATGATTCATGCAATGGTTGAGATCTGACAACTTTTCTGCTTTTCTTTCATTCAAACTTTCTTAAACTAATGGCAGGAATATTGTAGAATAGATTTGGGGATATAGGGACCAAGTTTTACATTTTATTACTCTTTGTGTTGATTATATTTGATAATGTATATTAATTGTTATATAATTATAATTCCAATCTTAATTTTATTTATTGATTTCCTGTATTTTGATTGGACGAAAACAAATTCAAGAAAAAGTTTACACATCGATGAATTCTTCGATCAGAACTACTTTCTTGACTGTTGTAAAAACAATGAAAACAGCTAGATACTTCTAGTCTGTTTTATAGTTAAATTATGATTACAAGAAACTTGAAATAAAAAAAATGAATGAATGATCGAATGAATGAATGAAAAAGAGATAAACAGGACTGACAGACGGTAATATCATGTTTATGTCACTGTCGGATCACGAGTGTGAATTTTAAAAAAATCGCTGATCATGCTGTCATTTTCTCGACGTTCCATATCAGCTCAGTTGGTATGGTTGTGATAGGGAAAAGAAACGTACCTCAGACTCTTGCCTTTTTAGCATCATATTCATATGTTTACATCCCTACAGATCCCATATTCTCCCTAAATCTTTGAACGAACCAGAGCAAATCGAGGACGTCGTCGGTCTGCTACTTTCGTTATGACGTTGTTGTTTATGTCAACATGGCCATGGTCAAACACGAATTATTCTGGAGATGCGCATATTTACGATATTTGTTGACTTAAACAACAATCAATGAGTTTTTATAAGTTTATTTATTGATTGTTTTGAGAATTTAGGTTGGATTTTATCGATATTCATCTTGTATACGTTTCTTTGCAGCATAAAGTATTCCTAGGCCGTCCAAAATAACGGATTGTATGGCGGCCTTAAAGGGAAATAATTTTAATAATTTAAAAAATTCGTAATTGGAATTATAAGAATTAAACGTTCTTTTTTTCAGAATTTATTGATGTGTAAACTCTGCCTTTTTACTCACAAACTTTACTTTTGTGAGTAAAAAGGCAGAGTTTACACATCGATAAATTCTGAAAAAAGAACGTTTAATCCTATAATATCTGTATTATATTACACACTGAATTGTCCAAGAATTTTTTTCCTGATCGTAAACAGGAGCACACGGCCAGTGTGACCAATTGGCAGGAGATGCTCACTCCTCCATGGCACCTGATTTTTTGGAGGTCTATGTTTGATCAACAAAATTCAATAACTTGTTTTGAGTTTTTGTTTACAATTTAATTTCAGACCACTAAACTGGATGTTGATATATTTCGAGGGGTGAGTATACAGTAGTCTGCTTGAATATAAGAACCCATAAATCTAAATTCATTTTCTTATTTTTTTTTTCAAAAAGAGACATAAATATTAAATTTTTGAAATAAAAGAGAATTATTATTAATGTGACACAAGAAATATTTTCTGAATCTTTATATTTTATGAAATCAAATTGAATGTTATAATTTCTTGTTATTCATGTGACATTTATTTTAGCGCTCTACTCTGTGGTAATGAGTTGAAATACGTATATCATTCTGTACCTGTCATGTATTTTAATTGCATTGACTGTCTGTTTTCATGGATATGAACATGTTACTAAAACTTTTACCAAGATCTAATAATGAAAAAAGATTAATGAGTGATCAATGATTCTCCAAAATATTGCTGAAATACTGCCAATGTGATTTTAAACATTTATTCAGTTTCATAATCGCACTGAAATTGTAAAATTCATATACTACATGTAGTATTCAGTTTCTGGGATTTGTCATATTGAGGAAGCTGTAACCAGGCATGTAGCATCGTATGCCCCCCCCCCCCCCCCACGTTGCAACATCCCAGGTAACATATTAAATCTTGTCTGTCAACTAAAATGGGATGAATTGCTATCAAAGTGAAAAAAAAAACTGAATTCCAATTTCAATAAATGACTTTTGTATTATTAGGGCGTGTTTCTGGGTTGTCAGTTTGGGTTGGCAGCTATGTATATTTGGGCAGTTGGAATTCTAGCAGCAGGTCAAAGTTCAACAATGACTGGAACCTACACAGGACAATTTGTGATGGAGGTATATTGCACAATTACTTCATTTTAAAAGGAAAGGATGATGTGACATAACTGCTATCTGGGGCCCCTTTTTCCACGACGAATTATATTTAATCTACAACGATGTTAGTTTTCAAAAATGAGTGAATAAATACGACGCCTTTTGAATAGTTTCAATAGTTCAGAAACATTTTAATTATAAGGAATACTGCATTATCTTTGATTTTTTAGACCCTATCACAGCTAAATTCGGCCAGGTTTGTGATAATAGAGAGGTTGAGATCTTAAACTTGTACGCGTACGTGTACTTGTAGATATTTTGACGTACACGTTATTTTTAATTTGTCTGTTGAGATTTTTATGACGTGTAACATGTACGTGTACACCACGATCGGTGTCTCTGTTTGAACTATTTAGAAGGTTTTTCGTCGTCAGTTTGTAAACAAAACTTAATGAATATAAGTGCTCATGAAAGTAAATATTCTATATAATGTATAACAATCACATTTTCACACTTAAATTGGCTAATTTTTATTATTAAAGCTACACGTTTTCACTTACGTGTAGATTCCATTCTACAAGTTTTACGAACGTGTAGCAATCTTGACGTCACTAAAATTGATGACGTAATACACACAGAATTTCGGTTATTCCCCTACTAGACGTACCCGTACACGTACACGTTGGAAATCTCAACCTCTCTATTATTTTCTTTTATGGCAAGAGAATGGGCAGGTCTTAGTACAATAGAGGGATATGCGTGTCCGAGAAGACCTTATATGGCTGTTGTTATTATTTCGCACTTAGTCATTGTCCAATCCGATGACGGAACAACAAAACATGCTGGTTTACTACGTGTACATTTTTTCGCAGACACGTGGTTTAGGGAAAGAGCTAAAGCCACGAACCATCGAAATACGCCTTAACTAAAAAATCAATGAGAATTTCAATAAAGATAGTGTAGACTTGTAGCTTTTCATAACTGTTTTCCTTTTTTAGATATCTATAATACTTTTTCAAGAAGAGATTTGACAGTATGGCATTGTTTTGAATGAAATTTACATGAGGAACGTCATTATTTGTAACGTAACGTCATAACATCGTAAAAAGTCCTTTGCCATAGAACATTCAACATTAACTGCTTACTTTTGTACACCCGAGCGATACAATTATAGTTCTTTATCCAAAAATATAGTTTTAAAAGTATGTAATACTCTAGACATATGTCACTGCATTATATGACATAATTATTATCTGATATACATGTAATAAATTCTGAAAAGTTCAAATTTTGTGACTGGATAAATATAACGTGAAGCCCGGCGCAGTAATCGTTAAATCTTTTTCTAAACAAGAATCTGGGCCTATTATAACGAAATAGAATTATCAAAGTAGGTACGTATGTTTTTGTCTATGTGACGAACCCCGATTATTCGTGCAATTTGACAATGAAATATATGTCTTGCAGAATTCTTGAAGCTTTTAAGAAAAGGGGGGGGGGGTGCAAGTAGCATGAATTTGATTTGAAAGTTGAGTATATATAGAATGTAGCCCTAAATTCGAGTTTCTCTAGTTATATTACCAGGTTTGTCATAGTCCGCTAGTTAATATTGATATCACACGTATTTAGATTTAGATTTTTTTCTTTCAGGTAGGTATCTTTTCCTGTATGAAAAATTATACAGTGTATCACTTCTACTTTTTTTTGGGGGGGGGGGGGGGGGGTGACGTAAGACATGCGTTTTAATCCTTTAATCTTATATTATTGTGTACTGCATTAAAAAAAATCTGCGCCTATGTTTATTGTTGAAAAAATCAAGTAATCAGCAAAGGAGTGTTGCTTGTCTCCAATATTACACTGAGACTCGTTTGTATATAAACAAAAATTTCAAATCGCCATGCACACTCAGCATGGTTATAGAATAGTACTACATGTACCCGGTAATGGGACGAATTTTATTTCGACCACTTCCTCTACTTTTCCAGATTATTTATCGCCGTTTTTTTCCCTCTTCCTGCTCCTTTATCCGTGAAAATCACTACATTGCCACAGTTTTTTTTTTATATTTGAAGCGAAACCAATCTAACTACCAGTCATAGCGGAGGGGCATCCTAAGTAACAAAATTATATGTCCGAATTCGCGTTCACGGTACTGAGATATATAGGTGTTATGTATATAAAATGGAGTGAAAATGAAAGGTTAATTTTTTTTGTAATTACTTAATTTTAATATTTGTCTTCCCCGAGTTAACGCTTTACTACGTCGGCGTATTCGTGCCATTTTAACAATGTAGAATTTTTTTATTAAAATCGTTTGTACGATTTATTGAATCGTTTGTACGATTTGATAAATCGTTTGTACGATTTAATAAATCGTTTATACGATTTGATAAATTGTTTGTACGATTTAGTAAATCGTTTGTACAATTTAATAAATCGTTTGTACAATTTGTTTGTTAAATCGTTTGTACAATTTCTTAAATCGTACAAACGATTTATTAAATCGTTCAAACGATTTAATAAATCGTACAAACGATTTTTAAAAAAAGTTATACATTGTTAAAATGGCACGAATACGCCGTCGTACTTTACATCACTTCTGCAGATATTTTCTTCTATCTGTAGATAATTCAGTAATATGTCAGATCACTAGATGTGATTAAGAAAGCTGCAAGGCAAACCAATTACTACTAGAAGATAAATTAGGTTTCAAAATCCATGTTTATTTTTATTCATTAAATGTGCGCAAATCGTGAGTCTGACACCTTTTTATTTTAATCGGATAACCTTGGTATTTCCCTGAAAATGCATTCAGATGTTACAGAATTTCGGACACATACGACACTTTTTAATTTTAATCGGATAACCTCGGTATTTCCCTGAAAATGCATTCAGGTGTTACAGAATTTCGGACACATTTGACTCCTTTTTATTTTAATCAGGTAATCTCGGCATTTACCTCAAAATGCATTCAGATGTTACAGAATTTCGGACACATTTGACTCCTTTTCATTATAATCGGATAACCTCGGTATTTACCTCAAAATGCATTCAGGTGTTACAGAATTTCGGACACATTTGACTCCGTTTTATTTTAATCAAGTAACCTCAGTATTTACCTCAAAATGCATTCAGGTGTTACAGAACTTCGGACACATTTGACCAGTTTCTATTGTAGTTACGAGACGTACTTCTTCTATGATGTATAGTTGTGCAGATAGATCATCCCGAGTTATTCAATTTCAGAGTTATTAGATTATCAATAAATTTCTTTTTCGTTCGAGAAAAAAAAATCTGCGTCGTATTATTTTTTAAAGGTATGCCAAAGAAAAAGTTCTAAGACATCGTAAAAGGTTAATAAAGAAGGGAAAAGCTACGGAGAGAGAGAGAGAGAGAGAGAGAGAGAGCATGCGTTTTTGAGCTTCGAGTTTTAAAATAATGTTAGCTAACTAACATTTACTGTAATCTTAAATGCATAATATTCATAAATGCTATATATTTCTTCAATTGAAATATCAGTGTGTAAACTAATAAAACTATTTACTTTTCATGTATCCTAGAATAAACATAGAGTTGCGTGAATTTTAGATGTCAACTTCGGATTAGGCATTTTTTTTATGTTTATAAATTAAAAAGATTTGAAACAAGTATTACGTTCAACATCTAGTGCTGGCAACAAATTGGAAACACGACACAAATAAATTCTCAACACTTTTTTCTAATTATAAAATTATTTTGACTAACTTCTTCAAATTATTTTTGCTCAGATGCAGTAGACCTCACGGTCAAATTATGACGTCATCATTGTATCATGTACGTAAGCATGAAAGAAAAGAGCGTAATTTTAAATTTTATATGAAAGAACACACATTAAATGACAATTTAAGATATTCTATCACAAAATTATTGACAAATATTGGATTATATAATTATCAAGAATAAATCTGATGTACTAATAACTAATTTAGAGTATTTACGCATATAATGAACTTATAAATTACTACTGAAATGGAGGATCCTGCTTCAATTTCTGAAAGCTCAACATTCATAAATTGTAAAATTCATATTGGCCACACGCGAGTACCTCTGGGATATTTTGCATGAAGGTGCGTATATGTAATATTTTCATGCATGCAAATTTTGGAAAGGGTACTTGAGTGTGGCCACATTCAAATTTCGAAATAACTGCCGTAAAATCGGCGTTTTTAGACAGTTTTTAACTTCATAGGTATATTTGCTCCTGTGCATGTGCTAAGGACGGTGGCCTGTGTGACAAAAAATTATATGTAGCGTACCATGACATTGTGCTCTACAAGATAACATATGAAAGGCTTCTTGATTTTAAACTTAAATTTTGTCTAAAATTAAAGGCGGATATTGATAATTCGTGGCTTTAGCTCTTTTCCTGTTGTCCTTTACTACATTTCAAACTTTTATAATGATCAGCCAATCCTGTTTATACTTAATAATACGCATGGATTTTCAGCATTTACGGTTTTTAGGACAAGAAATGCATATGAAACTTGTATTCACCAATACTCGGGAATACGTGTATATAGACCTAGAGCGAACTGCTCACCAAACACGCTACAAAACTAAAATGTATATCATGTATATTTTCTATCAATTGTTTGTAACTGTATATAAATTTTACAGTGGTCTCGGAAATGGTACATATGTAGATGCGTGTCTAATCTGTGACTCAAATGCATAAAAAAAATATCGGAAAGCAGTAAAATTCCTTTTATGTTTCCATTCGGTAGTATTTTTGTGTTACTCACTCGTAACAAATTTCATTTAGCTGATTGGTCAGTAAGAAAGTATCGCCTGTACCTCGATTAACATATGAATTCATTCTTGCGTCAGAAAATCTAGTTCCGTCGATCTGTTTATAATGGGAAAGGCCAGCTAGATTTTACATTTTTTTAAAAAATAGCATGTGAGTGCAGTTAGGTACAATTTTCTCCTTTCACATATAGGTAGATTTCAATAAAATACAGTGACCAGCCAAAGGAGAAAATTGTACCTATCTGCGCTCGTATATTTTAAGGGCTTCAAAGAGTGGGGCGGGGTTAAAATGCAATGGGAATTGAATGTAAACATGATACCCCTACCCCAATAAAATATTTATATCTTTCAAATCACGTTGCTACAGTGTATTTTTGTTAAAAATAGTATTCTATCAAAGTAAACATATCAGTGATTAGTTACATACAAAAATTTGAGTAAAATTTTGACATTTAATTTTTTGTCAGTATACGAGGGGCCGCAAGTCACCTCATCCTTTATTATACACATATATATAAGAGATAATCAGTGAATAAATAGGGCATTCTCTTAGTACCATTGCGCCAGTTTTTTTTTTCAAGTTATCTACATTGCCCTAATTGACTTCCATGGAGAATGCACCTTTGGTACATGTACATAAATGTGCACATAAGATAAGAGTTGCATTGTATGCATATGTTACATGATTGTATGATATCTAAATAACTTAAATAGCCGTGTACATGTAAATGGGTTTGAATTCAGTCTATGCCTAAGAAACTGTTGCTTGAACCACTTGTACTTAGAACATTAAAACATTGTCATATTAATGAAACTACTAGATAAGTGTTTTTTCTTTAATATCACTCGATATAGGATCAAGTCTCATTTAAAAAGCACATTTGCTGAGATTAGCTTTACTATATCTTACCCTGTTTTTTACTTGACAATTTGGAATTTTTTGCAGGGTTTTCTGAATCTCAAATGGAAGCGCTGGATGCGTGTGTTATTCACTCGGAGCATTGCAATACTGCCTACCATTTTTGTGGCTACATTCTCGGGGATTCAGGATTTAACAGTGATGAACGACATGTTGAATGTGTTAATGAGTCTGCAGCTACCTTTTGCCCTCATTCCGATTCTCACGTTCACAAGTTCCGAAAATATCATGGGAGAGTTCAAGAATGGAAGGTATATACCTAGTTTATGTCTGTATACAGGTAAACTTCAGTATCTCGACATCGGATATGTCTACAACCTGGGATATGTCAATGTCGGTCCGCGGTACCGTCATTATTTACTATATAGATGATTTGCAAAATCTCGGATATGTCGACCTCGGTAATGTCGACTACCCCGCTTATCTCGACGTATTTCACAGCCCCAAGAGCAAAATTTACCTGGTATATGTCGACATCGGTGCAATTTTCTGCTCTACTTAATCTAATTGTTTGTCAGCTGGTTGCTCATCACGCTCGGACAACCTCGTTTATCTCGACATCGTCAGAAAATCACACCTTTCACACCCATGTTTTGACAACATACTGCTCTGTAAAAATGTATTTGTAGAGGAGTCCCAAGCCCCCTCGGCGTCTCTAATACATTAATTGTTCAATGTTCAGCGTGGGTAATTATCATTGGTAAATCTTCTCAATTCTGCTTAAATGTACAACGGTTTACCGTTTATTTGTGTCGAAATCTAACAATACTTCAACATTTTATTAAAAAAAAGGTAACTGAATAACAATAAATAATATACACATTGGATTCAATTTAACTTAAAAATTGTGGTAAAAATGCATTCAACATGAAACAATCAAACTTACGACATGCACGACTATTGCATTAGCCGTAATATGGATGCATAGGTAACGTTTGTTAACTGCCCAATTTCATCTAAATTTTGGTTTGAAAATGAATTGAAAATTAATGATGAATGATTATGAAATAAAAAAGATGTGAAATGAAATAATTGAAAAAATGTACGCATTAATTTTTAGCTCACCTGAGCCGAAGGCTCAAGTGAGCTTTTCTGATCACATTTTGTCCGGCGTCCGTCTGTCTAGCTGTCTGTCTGTCTGTCTGTAAACTTTTCACATTTTCGACTTCTTCTCAAGAACCGCTGGGCCAATTTCAACCAAACTTGCCACAAAGTATCCTTGGGTGAAGCGGATTCAAGTTTATTCAAATGAAGGGCCACGCCCTCATTCAAGGGGAGATAATTGGGAATAAATGAAAATTTGGTGGCATATTTTAAAAATCTTCTTCTCAAGAACCACTGTGCCAGGAAAGATGAAACTTATGGGGAAACATCCTCAGGTAGTGAAGATTCAAGTTTGTTCAAATCATGACCCCCGGGGTAGGGCTGGGCCAAAATGGCCGACCAAAGTTTACATAGAAATATATAGGAAAATTCTTTAAAAATCTTCTTCTCAAGAATGACAAAGCCATAATTCATCATATTTATATGGGAGCATGCTCAGGTAGTGTAGATTCAAGTTTGTTCAAATCATGACCCCCAGGGGTAGGGCGGGGCCAAAATGGCCGACCAAAGTTTACATAGAAATATATAGGAAAATTCTTTAAAAATCTTCTTCCTAAGAATGACAAAGCCATAATTCATCATATTTATATGGGAGCATGCTCAGTTGGTGTAGTTTCAAATTTGTTCAAATCATGACCCCCCGGGATAGGGTGGGGCCAAAATGGCCGACCAAAGTTTTTGAAGATATATATAGGAAAATTCTTTAAAAATCAATTTCTAAAAAAATAGCAAATCCATGATTGATCATGGGACTACTTTTGGATTTAAACTTTACAATAAAAAGCCATTTTTTACTTTTTCCTACCCTTAGTGCTCAGGTGAGCGATGTGGCCCATGGGCCTCTTGTTTTTGCGTATCTAGGAATTCGACTTTGCACCGTTCCGGTTCGGAGTTTATAAAGCGCATTTCGTATCCTGTTCTGACAGAGCTAATGGCTGCTATTTATGGCACGCGGATCGAATGCTGGATGGAAAACGGTTTTTAGTGAAATGAGAAGATTTCGATAAAAAAGAAAGCATTTCATAAATAACATTTGTGAAAAACTTCTTAGATTTTCTAATAAATGTAGAGAGATAGCTGAAACAAATGAGCTACAGTCTAATTGAAGATATATAGGTACCTGTAGGTACACGTCTGTTCTGTTTAGGTCTTTGGTTTTACTATGCAATAAAATTACGGACGTCGAGTCTCAACTCTGATATCTCGACACCTCGGATATCTCAACATTTTCCGACTGTCCCATCGATGTCGAGATAACGAAATTTACCTGTATTTATATTTGTACATGTACTTCATAATAAGTTTTGATAAACTTTCAATGCACTAAATTTTGAAGGAGAGTTGGAGTCTTGTTGAACATTAAAAAAATTTCAGGGTTTTTTGGTCAGACACTGAACTATGATTAAAGGCCACTTGTCCTTTTGCAGGTTTATGTCTATATTCACGGGTGTGCTGGCCATCGTTGTGATAGGAATAAACCTGTTCTTTATATCGGAGTACATTCAGGGCCTGCCTGACCATTGGGCCGTTTATCTAGCAGTGTCTACTCTAGTCCTTGTTTATATAATTATTATTCTGTATCTGGTAAGTTTTCCATTTTTTTATTTCACTTGATTCATGCAGGAAATATGCTAGGCCACCTTTAAAAATGTATTTGCTTGCTTGTCCTCTCCGAACTCATGGTAAAATTATTCAGTTGTTAGGTAGGTACATGAAAAAAAATTTGGAAAAATTTCAACATTTTATTTTGTTGATGTGATTAGAGGAATAAAAAGGTTAAAAAGATATTGTGTCCAGGAATGTTAAATAGATATTTTTACTTAGGTCATTTTTAGTCAGTCTAGAAAGGGCAAACAAACACTTTTTTAGCTCACCTGAGCCGAAGGCTCAAGTGAGCTTTTCTGATCAAAATTTGTCCGTCGTCATTGTCGTCGTCATCAGCGTAAACTTTTCACATTTTCATCTTCTTCTCAAGAACCACTGGGCCAATTTCAACCAAACTTGCCACAAAGTATCCTTAGGTGAAGGGGATTCAAATTTGTTCAAATGAAGGGCCAAGCCCTTTTCCAAGGGGAGATAATTATGAATAAGTGGTAAATTAATGGCATTTTTCAAAAATCTTCTTCTCAAAAACCACTGGGCCAAGAAAGATGAAACTCATGTGGAATCATCCTCAGGTAGTGTTCATTCAAGTTTGTTCAAATCATGACCCCCGGGGGGTAGGGTGGGGCCACAATGGCCAATCAAAGTTTTACATAGGAGTATATTAAGGGAAAAACTTTAAAAATCTTCTTCTCAAGAACCACTGGTCCAGGAAAGATGAAACTTACGTGAAATTATCCTCAGGTAGTGTAGTTTCAAGTTTGTCCAAATCATGACCCCTAGGAAATGGGAGGGGGGGGGGCAAAATGGCTGATCAAAGTTCTACACAGGACTAGAGAGGGAAATCTTTTAAAATCGTCTTCTCAAGTATTTCAAGGCCATGATTAGTGATATTTATGTGGAATCATCCTCAGGTAGTGTAGATTCTAGTTTGGTCAAATCATAACCCCCAAGGATAGGGTGGGCCACAATGTGGGATCCAAGTTTTACATTAAAATATATATTTAAAAAATCTTCTCAAGAATAGCAAAGCCATTATTAGTAATACTAGTATTTATATGGAAGCATTTTCTGGTAGCGTAGAATTAAATTTGTTCAAATCATAACCACCAAGGGTAGGGTGGGGTCAAAATGGTGGATTTAAGAATTACATAGAAAAAAAGGGAAAAAATCCCAAGAACAGAAAAGCTATGTGTAGTCATATTGACATTTAAGCATCCTCATGTATTGAAGTTTTAAATTTATTCAAATCATGGCCCTTTGGAGTAGAGAGGGAAACATGGGGAATCAAATTCAAATTATTATGAAGTTATATATAGGAAGAAAATGTTTTTAAAAAATCTTTTTATCAGGAACAGCAAAGTCATATGCTGTAGTAATTTGAAGGCAATCTCAAGTAGTATTAAAATTCAAGCCCCACCCCTTTCAATTCTGATCTGATTAGTGCTTTTTCCTAGCCGATGTGATCAGATGAGCAATGTGGCCCCTGGGCCTCTTGTTTTAGATGGCCCTATTGATATTCACAAGGGATAGAATTTATTTTTTAATTTATCAAACAGTATATAAAATGTACATTTAATGTAAGACATACATTGGCAAATCCAATCTTGAATTATTATAATCTTAAGATTAACTGAAAACTGGCATTTCAAGGATATGGAACCATGTGGAAAAATTAAAGCATGAACACTTTAATTGAATAGGCATTGTATATCATATAGATTAGTCATTATATGACTTTGTTTGATAATTAAATGTTATTCACCTTTCTTTTCTATTAAAAATTAATTAAATAAAGATAATATTATATGATAAAATTTGTTAATTAAAAAATTGATTTGACAATCATTTTCAATCAACGATTAATCATTTCAATTGAATATTTCATTATCATGTGATTATCTTTTTAATTTTAATTGTAGATTAGGCTTTGTTTAATATTTAACTTCATTATCTTTTTAATTTTAATTGTAGATTTGGTTTTGTTTAATAACCAATGGAATACAATTCCTTGAAAGAATACCTGTAAGTCATTAAAACTATTTTCTATTTTGTCTATATAGTAAAACTTTACCTTGTTTAATGCACTGCTCTCTTTTGAGAAAACATTTGCACAGTTTAGGCTCTTTTACATTTATGTACAGGGGGGAAATGAGTAGAATGTATTGCCTGTCAACTGGTCTTAAATGTAATATCTGCCATGCTTTTCTTAAGGGTTGAAGAGCACTATTAATATTTATCTTTTTTCAAGTTGCCCTTGTCAATGAACTAGCGTTGTTTATTTGATAGATAGGAAATTCTGCCTTAGACGAAACAACTCCACTTCTGTGATTTCAAAGGTTTCTTTTTGTCTAGTTTATTTTGTTATTTGCATGCTTTTATTTCTGTTTTCATTTCCGTAATTTATTTTTATTTTATTTTTTGCATGTTTGCAGTGATTGTCATTTATAATATAAAACCTCAGTTCTTGTTTTGCTGTTAAAACATTAGGATTTTTTTCAAAACAGAAAAAAAAAAATTCTACTCAAACCCTCAAACCTTATCATGCTTATTATGAGAGTGCAAAGAGAGAAAGAATATATGCCAACTTGTTGATCAATATCAGAATAGAAAATGGAAATGTTCACTGATTATTCAAATTAACATATTAAAGCATTCTCCTGAAAACTATTTGTTGGTTTTTTTTTTTTTTTTTGCACCAACCATGACTTTTTTGGAATTTTTTAATTTGCAATTATTTAGTGAGTATTAAGTACACAGATATAATAGATGAACTCCCCAAGAGTTGAGGGAAGGGGGTCAATTTTTATAAGAAGGCAGGAGAAGAATAGAGTCAAGAGAAGACACAACCTTCATATTGCACGTTTTGATTTGTTTCTAATTATAGAAACACCCTAACCCAGAAAAAAATTAAGCTTCAAATCAGAATCACAGCATTTTGTACTCACATGTTTCTGAAAGCAACTGATCTGACAGCTTTAATTAATGAAATTTCCTTGAATGAAACTAATATTGTTGATGTTATGCCTTGTAAATACATGTACAGTGTAATAGAAAATATGTAAAGTTATTTCTCATTGTTTTGTGGTATTTCTCATTAATTTTGCTTGTGTTACAGTTAAAAAATTTAATATCATTATGAGTGACAATAAATATTAGGTAGTTCTCAAATATCTAAAAATATACCAAATATTCATTTCATTTGAAACAATTCTGAAGAGTTTCATGCACAAGTGCTTAAAGAAATATCTGAAAATATACAAAATATATATTTCATTTATAATATAAAAGTTTAAAGCTCAAAAGCTTAAAGAACTATCAGAAAATATACAAAATATTCATTTCATTTATAATCCTGAAGAGTTTCAAGCAAAAGTGCTATTAAAAAGAAATTATTATTAAGTTGAACATTCTTTATTTTTTCAGTGTTTTACCTTCCTGAAACCAAGAGACACTACCTACATTCTCACTGAGAGTGTGTCTGGCACCAGATTAGACTTACAGGAAGGCGTTCCTGATTTTGGATCCACGTCCACTACTGCCGACAATGACGAAAGTTAAACCTAACCAATGAGGATCTTCCAGGTTTCTGTCTCCACTTCAATAAAGAAATCATGAACAACTTTACCTACTGTCATTATTAATCAAGGAAGATCTTCCAGATTTATGTCTCCACTTAAATAAAGAAATCATGTACCTACTGTCAATCTGTCATTATTAACCAAAAAGGATCTTCCAGTTTTCTGTCTCCACTTCAACAAAGAAATCATGAAGAACTTTACTTACTGTCATTCGGTCATCATTAACCACCTTGAAGGAAGATCTTCCAGATTTATGTCTCCACATTAATGAAGAAATCAGAAAGAACTTTACCTACTGTCATTTGGTCATTATTAACCAAGAAAGATCTTTCAGAATTCTGTTTCCACTTCAACAAAGAAATCATGAAAAACCTTACCTACTGTCAATCGGTCACATTAACCAAAAAAGATCTTCCAGATTCTTCCTCCACTTCAATATGATGAACTCTAGTTCTAGATGTAACCTTAACTTCAACTACTTCCATTGGTAATGAAAATCAAAAGACTTACGGACTTTCATTATCCTTGGTTTCATATTAACCACTGCCATTAATGATTAAAATTAACCAGAAAAGATCAATTCATTGACTGATGAAAATTAACCAAAGATGCTCTTCCAGATGATGCGTTTTCAATCAGTGTTGTCAAAGAAGGTGACATATACATTGTTGAATTTTTTCTCACTGTCTGGTAAGTGAATCTCATAATGGGTGAAGATTGCTGTACTGCTATTTGGAATGAAATAATATCAATGCTCATGTTATACTTTTTATGGATAGATTATTATCAATATAAAATATGATTATACTCTGTATTCCTAAAGTGACCTCAAGATGGTGCTTATTAGATGTAGAGATGTTCATTTTATCAAGATACTGACTTATTATTTTTTACAGGATGTTAATGTCTAGGGTGTGTGAATGATCATCCCTTTTAAAAATAAAATTAAAGTGATTTCTTAAATATTAGATAATTAGATTTTTTTAACAACAATGTATTTTCAGAAGACACAAATAAAGGCAATTTTATGTATATTTCTTGAAGATACAAATGAACTTTCAAGATAATTTAATGTATCAAATATATTTAGGTATATGTCTTTTTTGACACCTCATAATTAAGAAACAAATAAAATTGTGAAATACTCTAAATGATATTTTTTCATATTTACATTGAATCATGTTCCTTTCAATATACAGGTAGAGAAAGCCTTGGATTATTTTTGTATGTCTTCAATGTACTTCAAGATGGCTGTTCCAAATTTTTGTGGAACTTTTAATTATGACTGTGTGCATAGTGAAAATGAATCCTACGCAGAAAAAAAGATATATATTCAGTGCATCATTAGATTAGAGTTACATTTTTATCTGTTAAAGAAAATTCATTTGTTTCAAAGAAATAAGTTACAGTGTATTTATTATTTTTTATGATTTTGTCATTTACAACTATTTTTCATAATCATAATGGTCGTATGGACAGTTGTTAAACTTTTTTAGTCTTTAATGGTGAGCTTTTTTATACAATGTCATGTATATTCAATCCAATCAGAGACTATCAAAGTCAGTACAGGATAAAATTAAGTATAAGATATGTATATCATAAAAGAAAGTTGAGAGGTGGCGGTACTTATTACATTTCAAATTTAGAATAGTACATTGTGTTAACCTTTTCTTGTACAGTAAAACTCGGTTATAACGAAGTCACAGGGACCGTGTATGAGTTTACTTCGCTATATCCATAATTCGTTATATCCATATAAGAAATACGGTAAATTTGCATAGCTCGGGATCGAAAATAACTTCGCTATAACCGTAAATTCGTTATATCCGTGTTCGTACTAATATATATATTTATGCAATATATTTTTATTAATATATAAATTATATATTTTTGACTTATATATTTCTAATGCTTGGGCATTGTTATTAAGGGGGGTATGCACTTAAAATTGCAAACTAGCAAAGTTTGTAGATTTCAATCTTCATTTTGTTTTGGTGCATCTAATGTACATGGTTATGTTTTATATGTGTACTAGAGTATCCATAGTTTATTGTAGTATTTGTTTTCACGTGTAAAGATGCTTTATAATTTTCAGCTTTAAAGTGTATGATTCATGATTTAGAATCAAAACTGCAATCTCAACAATAAGTACATGTATTTGCTCATTATAGGATGATCTCCAAATTATCAGATACCGGGGTATATTTTAATGTAATTAAATCATTTTTTGTTGGTTTCTTTGTGTGTTTGGGTTCTAAGCTTTTCTTATTTTGACAATTTACTATGTTTTGTAATTTTTTAAATGTATTTCTATAGGAATACTGTGGTAATTAATTCTATTACACTTACAGTAATATTTTAAGACATTTGCCAATTAAATGCATTATCATTAAAATTTGTTTTTCTAAACCTTTGTACTTATTTGATGCAAAACATTTTCCCTGTTTTAATGTAATTGTACTGTTATTTAATTGTTTGTTTGTATTGGGTTGTTTTTTTTTGTGTGCCTTTTTTCAGACACATAATATGTTTTTTAATTCTTGAAAGCAAGAGACTTAAGTTGAAAAAGTCTCTTTTAGTCGGATTTTGTTTTTTTACGAAAATTACTAGAATTTTGCTATTATTGACAATAAGTTGAAAACAATCAATTCCATTTAACTTAAAAGGAAGACAAAGGTTTAATTGGAGTGTTGATGCATAATAAAAGCTCAATTTATATTGAATAAACATGAAATGTCAAGATATTTTCCAAAGAGGAATTAAGCTCCTTTTAAAAAAAGCTTTGAAAGATTTCATATACCTTTTTGGAACTTTTTAGAGTATTACTTGTTTTAGAGACATTTATATTGGAAAAGGGTTTATATAATATGAACAATGCATATTGTATTGTACTGTTAAACTGTACATTTCGTCTTTCAAACCATGGGTATGTACTATTTATACATGTGTTACCTGTTCTGGTTAGACTCTCATTTCTTAAACGTGTTAAAGGTGCTTTGAAATTCTTTTGTTTGTTGTTTTTATGCCGCCCTTCGAAGAAGGGAGGACATATTGCTTTGCATTGCTTTGCTGCTGTCGGTCCACTTAGTTTCCGATCATTTTCTTCACAACCATTGCACATTGAAATTTGGTAAACAAATATATAGATAAATATCTAGATCAATTTCTGTTTTGGGTATGATCACGCCATTTTTATGCCCCGGATTGAAAGATCCAGGGTGTATATTGTTTTTGTCCTGTCTGTCTGTTCATCTGTTTATCATATAACCTCGTTATACATATATCATGTGTACAGAACACCACCATTAACCATTTTAAAGACGATTTTGCTACAGCCTAAAAATGTAAGAGGACAAGACACTACCAATCATATTGGTGAATTTAAAAAAATGACCAAACGCATATTAATCAACCACATTAAAATACGGACAATGAACATAGATTTTTGTGTCTCAACATACATATATGTTTAGATAGCCAGTATCTTTATATCTGCAAAATATCTCGTTGATAACTCAAATAACATAAAATCAAAGTACTCAGAAGTACAGAGAGCCGGGCTCATTTACAGAGTAGAATGGATTTCTTACATGAATCACGTTTATATTCTGATGAAAAAATTATTTTCAAACTATCAATATTAATGATAAGACACTGACAGTGAGTTTTTCAATCCTAATACCACGGTCCGATTTTTTCAGAATCAGAATTAATCTGGTACCGCAGCTGACTGTAAACAAACAGGCCAGTCTGGTTCCCTCTCCTGCTTTACCTCGTATGTGTAGAGAAGTACGGTAACACTGATTATCAAAAATCTTTACGCTAATGAACTATGTTCTTTGACTTATGAAGTTTTCAAAGTCATTACTAGTTTACTACTAATGTTTATTTTATTTAGATAAAACTTCGTTGTATTTTTGTTGCTTTATTTAGCGTTTGTATTACTAGTATCTCAAAAGCGGTTGAGAGTAAGAACTATATTTTTGCACGTAACTTTAAAATGGCGACTATGGGGTCAACATCCTGCCTTGAACAGGATCACATAAGCCGGCAGTTGCTCTTTGAGCAATAAGCCCGGCTAAAAATCTATGCCCAAAATGATGCTAAAATTGTCACAAATGAAACCTTACATTAAGTACACGGTACTAAAAATAACTTTATATTTGAAATATATTTTATATAAAATGAAATAAAAAAAACATTTAGTGATGCTATATGCATGTAAATCATCGTTAATTAAAATAAATGCATGTTAAATGGTTATTTAAAAAAAATTATAATTGAGCTTCATATGCAGTATTCAATTTGTACTAGTATTCAGCAATAATTTGAGGTACATATATGTGAAGTCATTCTTCTTCCTCCGTTTATTTGAATAAATATCCATGAGGTAGGCTTACGAAAATGAGTATTCATCATTGAGGCGCATATTCTTTCCTTCTCTCCAAAGAAAATTATATTATATATTTAGGAGGTAGACTTGGATCTACACGGATTATCTCCGTCACAAACTGTATCACTCCGCTGTGATTTCCTGTTCCGGTAAAACACAATGATGATGAAGGTGAAGGCCAAAACTCCAGTAAGGACCCCAAGAGAAGCAATAAAAATAGAATACGGAAAATCAATCCGGTACACGAAAAACGAAATTATGTCCTCGATGTTCGTTATATCGGCTCCTCGTAACTTTCTTTCAAGATCAGCTAATTCTGAGCGGTGTATTCTTTTAAATTCGTCTGTCACTCGAGTTACCAGACGTCCAGTTCTACCAATGAGCACAGTCTCTGATACGACTGAAACACAGTATTTGATGTACGAATTATTTGTCAATCCATGTATGCCTCTTTTTTTTTCAAAGTCAACTCTTCAATCCCTTAAAAGATGACTTGTGAAATGTATTTTATTATCTTTAACTTGGAAACGAATATTATTTATAAGTACAATTATACACGTATATATACCATGCAGGCAGTTTAACTATATTAAATGTAATTTATTAGAATTCAAAAATAACCTACTTGCTATTAACATTAATATTGCACTTGTGACCGTTTTAGATGGATTGAGTATAAATATCCTTAAGTTGACCAGCTCTAGTACGAACACAGCTCCGCACAGAATGATAGCAAACGTACTCACTATCTGAATCTCAGGTATAGAGGCTGAAAAAAAGGGACATTGTATTGGTAAAAAAAATTCTTTTCAAAATTACTTTCATTAACTTTGATTATTCCAATCATATTTATATATTCAATGTAGGTTCACGTATAGATTTTCCCTTTTTTTTTTACACAAATGAATAACGTCAAATAATAAAAATATTATTATCCGCAGAAAACGTATGTCAATTGAAATCTGAATAGATATAACCATTGTATATTGGATATCATTTAAAATGTTAATTTTAGTCTTCAAATTTTTCCATCAAAAAGGATCAATACAAATTCCTCATGAACTTTGTATTCTGGATTGGCGTAAAGTTATTATTTTTTTTTTTTTGCACTAAATAAATAAGAAATTGAATTAAGATGAACTTTTTTCAAAATCTTGATAAACCAGTACAACCTTTAAGGTTACCACATTAATGTCATTACAATTCTGGAAACTAGAAAAAATATTATAAACTCACGCTTGTTTGGCGGGTAAGAACTTGGATCCGCCATATCCCAGGAAATAGCCAGAAGATCACATGTTCTAGTAGATTCACAGGTTACGTAATAAAATAGGCTCATTTTTAAGCTCACCTGAAATTAAAGTAAAAAAAGTAACAGTAAACACAATTATACATGTAATGCATGGTTTGATGAAATCACACTAACAGAGAAAAACGTTTATTCCATGTGCTTTTCTGTATAATTAATCAATAATTTTCTGTATAATTAATCAATAATTAATTAATTATTAATTTATAATTAATCAATACATGCCATCCCAAATTAAACGCATAATACATTATAGGTGCGTTTTGTTTTTTGTTTTGTTTTAAATTAATTATTTTTTTTCGGGGGGAGGGGGGGGTGGCATCATAAAGGTAGTTTAAACTGATTATCGCTAAAAAATAATTTTTGAATCGACATGCGTTCATTACATTACTAAATTACAAAATTTAATTCGTGATTTTATATTCAAGCTTTTTTTTTTTTTTTTTTTTTTGAAATTAAAAAAATTGCTTCACATGCGTTTTGCTAAAAATCATACTTATACAGTATCAAAAAAAAATTTATAAAACATGTCTCAAATATATCTTTGTTATATCCGTTTAAGGACGGATGATACAAACAATTTTTTTCTTTGGAGGAGACTTTAGTTCATGTCACAAGTTTAGAAAAGAAAATAATTTTTAAAATCTTTTCTCGTAAGAAGTGGCAAATAAGACTTGGAAAATATAAGTAATATTTCAATATACACTGTAATTACAAATATGGATATAACACATTCAGTACAGGTTTAAAGACGACAAAAAAATTCAGAAATTTAGTTTGGTGCTGTAGAAGCTTTTGAAAAATATACCAAGCCAGGTGAATTTTATGAAGAAAAGCAAAATGGTAAAAATCAGCCTTTCTAATATTGCTGATTTTTTGTCATTTTGTTTTTCCTCATAAAATTCACCTGGTTTGGTATATTTTTCTAAAGTAAATATTACATTCCAGTACCAAGGTAATATATTCTTAAATTTGTTTTCTCTGTAAACCTTTACAAAGTGTTTTTTGTCTACTACATTTTCCAGTACTTAGGAGAATTTTTTTTTAAAAGAATCATCTCCATTTCTAAACTTGTGACATGATATTAATTCTCTTCCAAAGAAAAAAATTGTTTGTATCATCTGTCCTTAAGTGGAAAAATAACTTGTAACATAATATAATTATTATTATTAATTGACTTACTCCAGTAGGATACAAGTCGTTCCTAACGTAAGCAACTATCCAGCCTGGAGTCGCCATGGCAACAAGCCAAATGATGAATGTTAAACCGACCATAATTAAACAACACATAACCATTGGGCGATTCTGTTTCTGTCTCTGAAATATATTAACATAAGTGAAATCTGCATCTTACTTCGGTTCATTGAATATACATTTTTTAAAAAAAAAAAATATTCCATTTATGAAGTAGGGGCAAAAGAAGCAGTTATCATGCAGAGAAATTATTTGAAACAATAGAAAGGGAAGGAAAAGCAAACACGGACCTCTAAAAACCTTAGTGGTGGGTTCGGGTGCTTTTTCCATGTCAACAGTTCACACCCGAAGTGACTCCTTATCAAAATCGGGAAAACAAAAAAAAAAAAAACAAAACAAAAACAAAAACAAAAAAATCCGTGGACAATTCTGAGTGTTAATATTGTTAACAATTTAAAAAGTTTACAAAACACCAAACAGTAATTTGCATACTAACAAAAATTTATTATATGATTGAATAATTTTCATCTCTCGGATTGGCTGAGATCCAACTATGTTAAAAAAATACTACGCTATATTGACCTGGACGTGACGTTCTAGGTGAATACAAGGATTTATTTCCTCTACATTGATCTAAGGATAGATCGGGAAATTTGAAATTGATTCAAATTGTTTTGGAAAGCTATTTAAATAATTATGACTTTTTTTCATGTGAAAAAAACATAATCAAATATATGTTATGTTATGTTTATTCACCAATCAAGGGTTCACGTACGGGGGACATGAACAAATAATTACAATATGATTACGCTGATTACAATTCTATATTATAGATGTTTAATGTAACAGAACTAGAGATTATAGGTTTGACATTGAGAAGTGCATCACCACACTGGATCAAAAGCATAGAAAACCATAGGATGATATATTTTCGGTTGAGTGTGGTAAGAAGGGATGCAGGAAACCCCCTCCAACACATTTACTGAACAACAATTTTAAGCTCACCTGAGCCGAAGGAGCTTTTCTGATCAAAAGGGGGAGTTTCGATAAGGCCGTTTCTCGGCCCACTTATTTTCATAAAAATAAATTTCAATTTATTTTTTCAAAATTAGTTTAGAATTTAAGATGAATATCTTAATTTTTGTTATTAATATTTCAAAAGTTAATATGAGATAAATTCACACCGTAGCCGACACAAACTTAGATGTACCCGCAAATGCGTTAACATTAGGCCTATGGGAAAATATAAGAGGGTGGCATTTATAAATCGATTTTTAGAATATGAAGTGCATGAGGGACACTCACCTAGTTTTGCCCAGTTATTAGATATACCCTGCACACTAATAGTTTACAGTATGATGAGTGTCGCGTGTGCACTTCATATCCAAAAATTGAAAATTGTCTAAAATTTGCATACCTAAAATTAGAACCTTCTGGTTACCTGATTATACACCAGGTTAAAATACTAAGCCAAAAGAAGCACATTTTTTAAAATCAAAGATAATTCTCGAAAATATGAACAACAGAATACATTTTCGGATACTGTCTTTATTTCCATACTTATTTCGTCGCCAGCATATAACGTCAACGTCATATTTTTAGTTCAACTACACGGAACAGGGAGAGTTTTCTTAATACCGTCGGCATTTGCGTGTGCAGTTAAATATTTTTCTTGCAGTTTTTTTTATATCATATAGTCCCTTGACAAGTAATTCCTTGTCATCTGTCGGGTTTAAGATGCTGTGTTTTAAGCTAATATGTGTGGAGGTCAATTTTTTTAAAGTAAGTTAAATTTTTTTAGCAATGCCACTATAAGTACTTGATGACCAGACATGCTTCAGGATGCATCTTCGGATACACAGTACCAGACTTGGTTCGAATGCTGCGTCTGACTTACATTTCATTGATGAATGCTCAGAGTAAAAGGTTGACTAAACATGCACCGATGATACATTAAGGGTTGCACATTACCAGAAATGGTCCAGATGCCAGATCTTACTTATATTTTCTGACTGATTGAACGAAAGATGTGAAAACGAGTCCATTCCGTAACGTTCTGAATCAAACATATATCAGAAAAAATATCATATTAGCTTTTTTCGAATAGAAACCCTTGCTCCAATCTGCTAGAGAAGGTTCGTTACGTTTTTCCGTGTGGTTGGTATTTAAGTAGGGAACGTAATTTTTTTAAAGACTCAATGTTTCTGCAGAATTTGGGATTTAACACATCTTTGGCATTTATAAATGTATTTTGAACTGCGATCTGGACAAGCACTTACTAAATGTAACTAAAATTGGTGAAGCAAGTACCTAGTTTCAGTTGCTGAGAACATAATGTGCATCTTTAAGTTGTTTTAAAAAAATACTTCTAACTTTCAGAATGAAATTGAGACACTCAGTCTATTTATTAAGCGTTTTTTTTATCATCTGGCTATTTATTTGAGTTAGTATTGCATTACCAATTATAGTTTTCTACATGCAAGTATAACCTGGTTTTTTGAAATAATAAAAAAAAACATGTAAATTCCAATTTAATAATTCTGCAAAAAAAAAAAATCATTGAAGCGAAACAAAATACAAATATGATCTCTTACTGATCGAGGTCAACTCATTTACCAAATCTTAGCACAATATTTACAAGCATTTCAAGGGGGGGGGGGGAATCATATTAATACTTAAGATAAGTTTATCAAATAAAAATGCAAGCGATTATAGAGAAAAGTGCGGAAAATCAAATGGGACAGACTGACAGACAGAAGGACGGACAGCTAAACAGACGATACGGAAACTATACTTGTAGTCCCTCTGGTTTTACCGGTAGGGGACTAATAATTACTATCTTGATTAAATATATTGACTTTTTTCAATATTATTGATACATTAATATACAATGAGCATTGCAATTGCGATTCTTTTGAATATACTTTTAAAATAATATAAATATGTACTTGCATTTCTTTAATCGTACGGAAATCTATTTGTTTTTCAAAGCATGGTTTAAAATTAAATTCAATAATATTACTGTATAATTTCACAATAAATTTACCGATATAACTTTAGTTGATGAAAATGTATTGCAAACAATTCTAAACACCTGTAAATTACACTCAAAGTTGATCTATCGCATGTCTATTTTTTTTTTTTTTTTACATTTGCTTCCCTACGTACGGGAAAACTGTTATAAATTGATTATTATGTTCAAATATAAACTGTCAGTAAATTCCTCTTGTAAATGTTTCTGTCTATACAGAATATATATGTTTTATAACTTAAATTCTCCCTCTTTTTAAGAAAAGTTACAATGAAAACTCGAGAAAAATCTTGCAATTTAAAAAAAAATCACATAAAATAAATGTTATTAATTTTCTGTAAAATTAATATAGACATTGGTTATTTGATGTCTTTATTCACATTTATCACATTTTATTTATGATTTGACGTTGAAATAACTTCAGTATCCCGTTTTAAATATGCCTACTCCTAAAATGAAGGGAAGGGGGTATACTTAAACTTTGATTTATCACGTGACCAGAAAATGTGCAGTATAAATTATTTTAATATTTTTAGGAAGATAAGACATTTATCTACAACATATCACAATTTCATAACATTTCTAGAGGGGCCGCAAAACAGCCTTATCGAAACTCCCCCTTTGTCCGTCGTCTGTCGTTGTCGTTGTCGTCGTAAAATTTTCACATTTTCATCTTCTTCTCAAGAACCACTGGGCCAATTTCAACCACACTTGGCAAAAAGTATCCTTGGGTGAAGGGGACTTAAACTTGTTCAAATGAAGGGCCACGCCCTTTTCCAAGGGGAGATAATCATGAATTTGTTAAAAATTAATGGCATTTTTAAAAATCTTCTTCTCCAGAACCGCTGGGCCAGGAAATATGAAACTCATGTGAAAGCATCCTCAGGTAGTTTAGATTCAAGTTTGTTCAAATCATGACCTCTGGGGCAAGGGTGGGGCCAAAATGGCCGGTCCAAGTTTTACATAGGAATATATAAGAATAATCTTTAAAAATCTTCTTCTCCAGAACCACTGGGCCAGGAAAGATGAAACTCATGTGGAATCAAATAGGTAGTGTAGATTCAAATTTATTCAAATCATGACCCCCGGGGCAAGGTTGGGGCCAAAATGGCCGACCCAAGTTTAATATAGGAATATATAGGAAAAATCTTTAAAAATCTTCTTCTCCAGAATCCCTGGGCCAGGAAAGATGAAACTCATGTGGAATCATCCTCAGGTAGTGCAGATTCAAGTTTGTTCAAATTATGACCCCCGAGGCTAGGGTGGGGCCAAAATGGCCGACCCAATTTTTACATAGGGATACATAGGGAAACCTTTAAAATCTTCTTTTCAAGTAATTTAAAGTTATGATTAGTGATATTTATAGGGAATCATCCTCAGGTAGTGTAGATCCTAGTTTGTTCAAATGATGATTGCCTGGAGGGGGAGGGGGGAGTAAATTCAAGCCCGATGTGCTCAGGTGAGCGCCGTGGCCCCTGGGCCTCTTGTTTTCTTTTTGGCAATCAGTTTTCCCTGATAATACTCCTTCTTTCAAAATCTATCCTATAAAAAAGACTGACATATTTTTTTTCTCCTGGGAACTAAAATTGATTTTAAAAAATTCAAATTGATACGACTGGTAAGGTTTATTTACATTCTAATTCTGCTTCTCTCTTTTATTTGGCTAGGACTTAATTAATTGCAAACAAGTAATGAGCTGCATGTATCATTTAAGCAGTGAATCATATCATAAAATAATTTAATTTCACCTGTATCAAGCAATTTCATTGGCTGAATCATTCAGAGGAACATATAATATTTTGTATAACATAACTTGCCTACGTCACAATGAGTTACGTCAAAAACGTATTATTCCGCTTGACGTTTCTTTTAAAATATGCTATATTTGAAGCCTTTTTAGGAGGAAAAATTGTATCTTTGTATATACTGAAATTAAATTATAAGGAATGAAGCTTATTTCAACTTATGTTATACGACATAACATAACTTGGTGCAGTTTACGCATCGCTGTTTATAAAGCGTAAACTGCCCCAAGTTATGTTATATCATATCATAAGTTGAAATAAGCTTCATTCCTTAAACAATTATCGCTGTTGTTTTCTCGGTCAATACCATGATTTAGCCATCTTTGACGTAAAATATTGTACTCCTCAGATGGCTAAATCATTATATTGACCTAAAAAACAGCAGTAATTGTATAATATTTGCTGCAAATAACTATATTGACTGTATGTTATAGTTGCGGAACTAGGTCATCACTTTTGAAAAGTGAACCATCACTTTGCGGCTAGTTTGCTGATATCTGTTTCATGAACTTGTTTGTCAATAGTTTGACCCGATTAAAAGATTGTTCTTAGTCAGAGCATGCACTTGCGCATAAAATCAAATGGGGGATATAAACTCCACACGCAGGTGATAAGATATATCTCTAAATGTATTTTTTACCGGGATAACGAACAAGTGCAAAGTTCATTTAAACAAAATAATCAGTAGCAGAGCAGAAGTAGGATCAGGTGTCATGGAGGAGTCGGCATCCCCTGTCGACCCGTCACACCTGCCGCATGATAAAAATCAGAAGAAATGACCATAGAAAAGTTGAAGCAATCATTTAATCATAAAATAATTAAGTTACGTTACCATTAATGACTCTTTCAAGGGATGTTTCTAAATATGAAACAGATGTAGAATACCTGATTTCGTTGAGACTGGTTTTCGTGTTCAGCTTCCATGATTGTAATAGAATTTTCTGTTTGCCTAGGTTCTTTCCTTGACTGTCCTGCTAAAATAAGTATCATTTTACCATTATTACAATTTGTCTATAACCTAGTAAAATATATAAATGGAAAGATACGAATTAGTCAAGAATTGATCCTTTTTGGAATTTTTGGGATAACTTCATTTTTTTGTATAAGAAAATTGTACTCGTATATAAAACTGTTCTTGTGCTCTTGCAGTTCTTTGCTTTTCTTTGCTCGTAAATTCGTTGGGGGGGGGGGGGGGGGGTTATAAAAATGGTTTTAAGTTTCATTGTCTGTTTGAGTCTAGGACAAACATTTTTTGATTTTTTTTTAAATAATTTAATTGTGTAGATGTTCTTGCACGCTGTCCTTTTTACTCAATTTTCAAAACAAAGTAACGTAACATTATCAGTAAGAATTTGTTCAAAATTGGCAAGCAGTACATTGGTTGTTGTAGGTTCTTGTGGCCAAGGTCGGTACCCATTTTAATTTTATACCCATTACATCATTTTTGTTCATTGAAAACCGCCAACTAATGTGTCTATAAAGCAGACATTGGTCGCTGTATACTTAATATATTTCAATAAATATAAATTTGGGATTCCTAACAAGTTTTACAGCAAATTTCATTTCACTCTAGTTAACTGATTCCTTACCAATCATTTTTAATGCAGTGTCTTGAATAACCTTAGTTCTCTAGCTTTTCACAAAAAACCATATGATGAAAAGTTGTCACATAAACTGTTTTCAATCCATTTAAGATTCAATCATGAGAGAAAGTCAAGCTTAATGTCATATGATCTCTATGCTATATTCATTATGACAGTGCTCAGGGCATTATTTATTGAACAGTCCTTGTATGGAAATAACGAATATTATTCAAAATCAAAATTCCACAAAGCAATACAAAAAAGGAGCTTCAAGCAAATACGGACCTCCAAAACATCAGAGATAGGATCAGGTGCAATGGAGGAGTGAGCATCCCCTGCTGACCGATCACACCCGCCGTGTGCTTTTTGTCATGATCGGGAAATAACGGAAAATCCGTCGTCAATTCAGTGTATAAATAATGGCTAACAATTCGTATGAAAAACGTCAGTCAGTATTTGCCTTAATGATAAATTGTATTTGCTGACAAGGACATTTTATCGGCCATGGAACTTACAAAATGATGACTATCGAATCACCTGAGTTATATAAACTCCTTATGCAGGTGATGAGGGTATATTGCTGAATAAGAAAGGGAAAAAGTTAAAGTCGTCACGTTCATCATAATTATAGCTTTCTTATTAGATTATCATTAACGTATTTTTCAAGTGTTTATATGAAAATATCCAAATATGAAACACATGTGTCAGATTCTGAGTATTTTTATATCAAGCTCACCATAGTCAGAGACAAATATATACCTGATCTAACCTCTGATGTTTTGAAGGTCTATGTTTGCTTTGCTCCTATTGTGTATTGTTAACAGACTTTTGATTTTAAATACTGTTTGTTATCTTCATATACTAGTATGTCACATTAAGGAAACTCTTAACACTAACCGCTAGAAACTGCTTTTTGAATTGGAGGAAAATATATCGTATTGAACAGTTAAATGTGCGCATGCATATTGCGACTTTTTCATTCACTTGTAACAGGGTTTCTGCAGGAAAAATGTTCAAAGACAGTGAACTTTTGTGAACATAAATCATTGCTGTTTACTTACATTGGGAAAATTAATGAATAAATAATGAATTCAATTACTTATTTTTCCATGGTCTCATATAATGCTAAAATAGTTTAGTCCACTGTATTACAAATCGTGTAATTAACTGTAAATAACTCTTTAAAATCTTACTTCTAAGGGCAGATCACTCTAACTGCATAAAACTACCCTATAGGTAGAGCTCGTTGGTATGCAGTGTTTCTACTTGCATGAGCTTCCTTAAGTTCATATACGCAACGTAGTTTGAACATTTTTGGATTCTTCCCTGAAGTCGAAGAGTTCCACTAAATGAAGGACCTGTGTGCAATTTTTAATGTCTATATATGGATTTGTACACCTCTTCTAAAACAATTTTTGATGAAAAAAAATCTGGAATTTGTTTTATAATTTTTGTACATTTTTATTTGAATAATGCAAAAATTTTCGAAATTCGATATCTTTTAAAAAAACCCTGGTAACACCTGCTGACTCATTGAAACAGAACATGTAATGATATTATAAGTTTGAATGCAGAATATCTTGGAAAATTATCAGTAGGTAAGGTACGTTGCGTATGTCCTTAATGTGGCATTCTTAATATTTGTAATAAGGTATGATATATGCTGGTGGCATTGTTAATGTTTACAATAAGGTATTTTATAAATATTTTAATTTATATCTTATATTTTCCCCTGATAAATAATATCAATTGACTTTAATTGAGGTTGATATATTCCTCGTTAGAAATCTGATTAACTGATATATACAAACTCTATGGTGTTGTTTTATTTTCTATGCCCTATATCTGTGCAGAAACACGTTTTACAACGATAAAAGATACAAGGCGATGTGAATATCTTAGCCACGGTTTATAAATAAATGCATTCCCATGCGTTTCAAAACAGAAATGTACTCACTTTTTCACAACGTGTAAATAAAATATCCGTCTCTTCTATATTCTAGCTCTTTTTTTTCGAAGGAAAACAATGTAAACAGCCGACAATCAGTGAAAAACAATGCCTAAAGTTTCAATTCTTTTATACATAACTCCGGCATGAGGTTTGTAATAAACAGTGAGGTGATGCTCAGAACTACACGTTTACTTAAACCTTGGCTGTAAAGTGTATCGCCAAGTTATTTTTGTTGTTTACATTCCGAAGAAAAAAAATACAGTGTGCCAATTAACGTTATCATAAGATTTTTAATCTAAACGGCATAAATAGCTTAAAGCAATACGAACTGCAAGTTTGACACTGGAAAATTTTGTTACAAATTTGTAATCAACTTCTCAAAGACAGAAAAATAGATCATTCATAAACATATATGTTATCCATATTTGCGATGGACGAACTTTTATAAATAATCTTTAAATGAAGCAAAATGACATTATTGTCATCCTGTACATTATTGATTTCTTATATATAATGCTTTATATTCGATTGTAAAGAAATACTTCTTCTGAAACAATGTAATTTTTTTTTTTTTTTTTTTTTTTTGGTTTTTATAATCAAAGGGATTTTTAAATTACATATAATTTAAACATAATAACACATTTTAACACCAAAATAATTTCCTAAAAAATGCAGCTCGTATTGCTTTAAAACTCGCTTTGCTGTGCATTTTCAAAGTAGATATATGCAAAGCAATTATTGATAATTATCAGTTTTGATTTTAATTTTCATCGGAGTTATATCTACATGTATTACGTACCGTTTCTAAAATGTTATATATTTGAGGGGAGGGGGGAGTAATGTATTTATTTTAATTTTAAACATAGAACATAGGTCGTGATACGTATAGTATCCACCATCATATAAGGCTAGAGCCCTATTATAATATACGACATAGTAAATAGCATGTTTCTGCCCCCTACATGCATGCTAGAAGATTACACAAAAAAGTTTTTTTTTTTCAGAATTAAGTCAGCGATATTTCTCATAAATTTACATTTAGAATGGTAACCTGAATTATGTTTACCAAGTATAATGAGAAAATTTTGTAAGATTTTGTCATAAAGTTAAAAATTTGTGCAAATTTTTGTATGGAATTATATATAGGAAGCAACACGAAGTCTCATAGCTAATTAAGCACCAAGGAAAACCTAAGTTAGACGATTTCTTTACATTTCAGGGATTTATTCATATTTATGTAATTTCAAATTAAAATCAGTCAAAAAATATATATGCGTCTGCAAATTGTTTGTTTGTGTTAAGTACTCAATTATGTTGACATGCAAGTTACATGTACCAGTCTTATAAGGAAATATAATTTTAAATGTGTAAATTTACTAACGCCTGTATCTGACATCGTAGATGCAGAGTCAACAGGCATATGCGACTGTATTTATGATGTCATTATGCAAGATAATTATGACAACATGCGACTTATGCATATCAACATGCAAGATAATTATGTTTACGTCCAAGACTTGTGTGTTGATTATATGCAAATTATTATCTTTAATATTGATATAAATAAGTCGCATATGTTTAATATTTACAAAAATAAGTTGCATCATATATGTCTATAAAAATATTTAAAAAAACAAGATGTGTTTGTAAAACACTGATGCCCCAGTATGGCAACATAGCTAAGATTAAGCTTTTCTTAAATGCAAATTTAATTAATTGGTACAAAAAGTACGGTATTCTCACTGGAAAACAATTGCAATTGTGACATTTGAAAGTAAGCTAATGTTAAAGGTTTTTAATAAGTACAAAAATCTCCAAGGTCAAGGTCAAAAGGTCAATGTAATTAGTATCAAATGAAAGGTCTTGCCACATAAAATACTTATGTAGAGCATGAAAGCCCTAGCCCTAACCGTTCAAAAGATATGGTTAACGTTCAATTTCTTAGAAAGTAGGTCAAACTCCAAGGTCAAGGTCAAAGGGTCGAAGTTATTGTTATCAAATGAAAGGTGTTGTCATAAGGATCAAATATGTAAAGTATGAAAGCAACTAGCCCTAAGTCTTTAAAAGTTATGGTCAAGGTTTGCTTTTTTAAAGTAGGTCAATCTCAAAGGTCAAGGTCAAAGGGTCAAGGATCTTCATATCCAATAAAGGGTCTTCTCACAAGGATTACATAAATGAAGTATAAAAGTCCTATCCCTTACTGTTCAAAAGTTATGGTCAAGGTTAAAGTTTTTCACAAGTACAAAAATCTACAAGGTCAAGGTCAAAGGGTCAAGGTTGTTGATATCCAGTGAAAGGTCTTTTAACAAACATTACATACGTGAAGTATAAAAGTCCTGGTGTCTACTGTTCAAAAGATATGGCCAAAGTAAAATTTTAAAATTTTTCTTAAAAAGTAGGTCAAACTCCAAGGTCAAGGTCAAAAGGTAAAAGTTATTGTTATCAAATGAAAAGTCTTGTCATAAGGATCAAATATGTAAGGTATGAAAGCACAAGCCCTAACTTTTTAAAAGTTATGGTCAATATTTGCTTTTTTAAAGTAGGTTAATCTCAAAGGTCAAGGTCAAAGGGTCAAGGATCTTCAAATCCAATGAAGGGTCTTCTCACAAGGATTACATATGTGAAGTATGAAAGCCCTATACTTTACCGTTCAAAAGTTATGGCTAAGGTTAAAGTTTTTTCACAAGTATGAAAATCTACAAGTTCAAGGTCAAAGGGTCAAGGTTATTGGTATCCAGTGAAAGGTCTTTTAACAAACATTACACATATGAAGTTTAAATGTCCTGGTGTCTACTGTTCAAAAGATATGGCCAAAGTAAAATTTTTAAATTTTCATGTAAAAGTGGGCCAAACTCCAAGGTCAAGGTCAAAAGGTCAAATTTGGTGGTACCCAAAGAAAGGTCTTGTCACAAGGAATACACATATGAAATATGAAAGTCATAGCTCCACTAAATCAAAAGTTATGGGCAAGGTTAAAGTTTTTGCAGACAAACAGACAAACAGACAGACAGACACGACAAAAACTATATACCCCCGAAACTTCGTTTACGGGGGCATAATAAATTTTTAAATATTAAAAAGCAGATCCCCTGAAATGAGTTGAACTTGCGAGTCAACATAATATTATCTAACATGAAGACATAAATATCTTGTATGTTAGAATGTTTGCATAATTTTTCCTGCATGTAGGGGGCAGAAATGTGCCACCATAGGTTCCTGATTCATAACACGGGATAAACTACCGGAACCGGTTTTAATTGTAGACATACCGAAGCGTGCAGCTGACATTGAGTTGTTTACAAGCGTCTAAAATATTCAGACTGTCAACATTCAGTGATCTCGTGTGACTGGTAAAGAAGCAACGTTTTCTATTTATTTACCGATGAATATCGGAATGCTTATGTTGATTCTATAGTTAAACATGTAGACTATGTATTTTTGGTTCCATATTTCTCAAAATGTGTTTTATACTTGATCACAAGGCAATATATGCATACATGTTCGTTACTTAGCTTATAATAGTTGTTCCATTCCAAAGTTTAACGTGATTATTACAAAGAAAAAAGAGAGTGATCACATATTTACGGTTGTATACTGGTATTTTTTTCACTTGATACTGAACTGTAGTTGTACACGTTGCAAGGGACATGTATAATATACAATTTATATAGTGGATACACGCCAAATGATTCTGATTTTTGAACAAAGAGTGAGATAGTAGAATAATCTACATTGATTTAAGAATGACAAGTCGACACTTGTGTTTGTAGGATATATTAATGATAATATGTTTGATGGTGTGACTGTTTGGGCAAGCACAGTTGTACCTAGTTAGAATAATCTAACTGTGTCTCGGGACAAGCCCTCACCACAGTTAGAATACCACCCATATACTCGCAATGTAGCAAAAAATTGCAGAATCCCACCGAAACGATTTTGAAGGATACAAACGGATTTGCACTGAAAATAACTTGTAAATTAATCAAAACAAACCTTTTTGGGGCTGCTTAAGTATTTAAACCTAAAGTTTAGTCAAAATAAAGACGAAATATTCAACTAATTTTCTCAACGTTTTTTTCTCGCTTCAAATTTCGCCATTGTTTACGTTCGGAACTTACTTGATTGTTTATAGTAAATGCACTAGTGCGAGTTATCGCCCGTGTTTACTTTGCTACATTGTGAATGCACGGAACGCATTCTATCCTTAAACCGGGTCCGTAGGACATTTATCATTTTTAACGATAGAACATTCTATCTAAGTTGTACCTTCAAAAATACACATCAACCGTTGATCCGCCCCATGTGACATTGAACAAGAGCTCGTCAGGGTTTATGGTGTAGAAGTTGGGGCTTTACGGACCGTGGATATCGGCCTGGATAGCTCAGTGGTTAGAGCACCTGACTAGTAATACAGGGGTCCCGGGTTCGATTCCCGGTCCAGCCATATGTTTTCTTCGTGCATTTCTCCTTTCCTACTACATTTGGTGGCCAGTGTGGGGGGCTTTGTTCAGGTTACAGTGTATGTGTAAATTAGTAATTCCTGGCAGGGCCCTAGAACTTGTGTCTTCGAGGTCGAAGACTGTTTAAGGAGGGAGGAATGTAGAAGTTGGGGCTTTACGGACCGTGGATATCGGCCTGGATAGCTCAGTGGTTAGAGCACCTGACTAGTAATACAGGGGTCCCGGGTTCGATTCCCGGTCCAGCCATATGTTTTCTTCGTGCATTTCTCCTTTCCTACTACATTTGGTGGCCAGTGTGGGGGGCCTTGTTCAGGTTACAGTGTATGTGTAAATTAGTAATTCCTGGCAGGGCCCTAGAACTTGTGTCTTCGAGGTCGAAGACTGTTTAAGGAGGGAGGAATGTAGAAGTTGGGGCTTTACGGACCGTGGATATCTGCCTGGATAGCTCAGTGGTTAGAGCACCTGACTAGTAATACAGGGGTCCCGGGTTCGATTCCCGGTCCAGCCATATGTTTTCTTTGTGCATTTCTCCTTTCCTACTACAATGGAAACAGCCAAGCATCTAGTTGAATCTACAGACCTAGTGCAATTTTTGTCAAGAGACATTGCGCAGAGTTATTTTTTGTTTCTTTTAAAGATTTAAAGCCTTTTATGCTTTACATTAATTTATTATTTATTAATTTATCTGTGCAAAGGGTATTGGGTAGCAAAGGAACTCTGGTTAGGTTTTACACAAAAATTTGCTTGATGTATGTACAGATTTAATTCCAAATTTCCTCTGTTCTTACATGTAAGTCTATTGAGCTCGCTTTAACATTCTCTCTGGAGTGAGACTGCTGATGAATCAAAGTGAAATGTACATAAATTCAATCTCCGTACCTTGTAATCTTCTATAAGCAAATATACATGTACATTATGATAAACAAATTTTTAATGTATTGTTATGTAAACCAAATCCATACAAGGTACTAATTTCTTTGACCTGACTTCTTCAGTTAACAGCAGACATGGGTTGAAGCTTCAAGACTCCCAGGCCCTGCTGCTGCTGGTACGTGTAGGAGACAATGAATCCCGCGATCTCTTTCTGTGAGATCGACCTAGATGATCTCGAGTTTTATGAGAGATGTGGTGGTGGATCGTTCGGGAGTGTTTACAGAGCCAAATGGAAGTCAGAAAACATCATTGTCGCTGTCAAGAAGTTATTGGTCTTGGATAAAGAGGTAAATCTTCAGATATTTCTCATTAAACTTTTTATTGTACCGTGGTACTTGGAAGTGTGTTTTAATTAATGTTTTTTAAAGGCCTTTTTAGGTCACCTGAGTAAACTCATGTGACCTATTGCTATCTGTTTTCGTCCGTCGTCGTTCGTCGTGCGTCGTGCGTCGTTCGTCGTGCGTTAACATTTGAACATTTTCAGCTTCTTCTCTGCAACCACTGAACCAATTTCAACCAAATTTGGTACAAAGCATCTATGGGTAAAGGGGAACAAAAATTGTGAATTTCATGGTCCCTGCCCCCCTGGGGCCTGGGGGGTGGGGCAAAAACCACTAAAATTAGTGCAATCTTTAAAAATCTTCTTCTTTACTCCTGGACATCAAGCAGTCAAACTGTTTGCATGATTGTAATCAGCATTGAGTCCTCTACCAAAATTGTGAAATTCATGGCCCCATGGTCATGGGTTCTAGTGCTAGGGCGGGGCCAAATAAGTATATAGTGAAAATGCATTATTTCTTTGAAAATCTTCTTCTCTGCTACTGGGTATTAAATAAGCCTACTAAGTACATAGTTATGATGAGCAAGAGTGCCTTTACCAAAATTGTGAATTTTATGACCCCAGGGTCAGGGGTTCTGGTGAAGGGGGGGGGGGCTCTATAAATTATATAGTGAAATTACATGAATTCTTTGAAAATCTTCTTCTCTGCTCCTGGATATTAAATAAACTAACTAAGTGCATAGTTATGATGAGCAAGAGTGCCTCTACCAAAATTGTGAATTTAATGGCCCCAGGGTCAGGGGTTCTGGTGTAGGGGTGGGGCTCTATAGATTATATAGTGAATATTAATGAATTCTTTGAAAATCTTCTTCTCTGCTCCTGGGTATCAAATAAACTAACTAAGTACATAGTTATGATGAGCAAGAGTGCCTCTACCAAAATTGTAAATTTTATGGCCCCAGGTTCAGGGGTTCTGGTGAAGGGGGGGGGGCTCTATAGATTATATTAGTGAAATTACATGAATTCTTTGAAAATCTTCTTCTCTGCTCCTGGGTATTAAATTAACTAAGTAAGTGCATAGTTATGATGAACAAGAGTGCCTCTACCAAAATTGTGAATTTTATGGCCCCAGGGTCAGGGGTTCTGGTGTAGGGGGGGGGGGGTTCTATAGATTATATAGTGAAATTACATGAATTCTTTGAAAATCTTCTTCTCTGCTCCTGGGTATTAAATTTACTAACTAAGTGCATAAGTTATGTTGAGCAAGAGTGCCTCTACCAAAATTGTTAATTTTATGGCCCCAGGGTCAGGGGTTCTGGTGTAAGGGGGGGGGGCTCTATAGATTATATAATGAAAATTCATGAATTCTTTGAAAATCTTCTTCTCTGCTCCTGGATATTAAATTAACTAAGTAAGTGCATAAGTTATGTTGAGCAAGAGTGCCTCTACCAAAATTGTGAATTTTAGGGCCCCAGTGTCAGGGGTTCTGGTGTAAGGGAGGGGGGGGGGGGCTCTATAGATTATATAGTGAAAATTCATGAATTCTTTGAAAATCTTCTTCTCTGCTCCTGGATATTAAATTAACTAACTAAATGCATAGTTACTGTATGATTAGCAAGAGGCAAGAGTGCCTCTACCAAAATTATGAATTTTATGGCCCCAGGGTCAGGGGTTCTGGTGTAGGGGGGTCTATAGATTATATAGTGAAATTACACGAATTCTTTGAAAATCTTCTTCTCTGCTCCCAGGAATGAAATGAACTAATTACATAGTTATGATGAGTAAGATTACCTCTTCCAAATTTGTGAATTTTATGGCCGTAGGGTCAGGGGTTCTAGTGATAGGGCGGGGCTCTATTGTTTATAAAGTGAAAATACATTGAATCTTTGAAAGTTTTCTTCTCTGCACCTTGGTATTAAGCAGATGAACTATCTACATGTATATAGTTATGATGAGCAAGGGTCCTAATCTTCCAGAATTGTGAATTTCAAGGCCCCAGGGTCAGGGGTACCATAAAGGAGGGAGGGGGGCTGTACTTATATACTGAAACTGGATGAATTGTTCGAAATATGCTCCTTGGTATTAATCAAATATTTTTGAAAAACAAGGGTGCCTTTTCAAAAATTGTGCAATGTGTGGATCTAGGCCTAAGGGTCAGGGGTTCATGTGTGATTGGGGCATTACTGATCATGCTGAATATTACTGATTACTAGAAATGCATTTTTTGTTCCCCTACCCTGCCTATGGGTATTAAGTAAACAAACTAAGCAACTGCTAAGTGTATTGTAATGATGATCAATGGGGCCTCTTTCAAAATTGTTAATGCCATAGCATCTGGATTAATTAAAACATGAATCAAATTCAATCACTGGAAAGTTGTTGCATAATGCTCAGCTGACCTATAAGGCCCATGGGCCTCTTGTTGTGTCTTTGAAGTACTTTCTTGCAAAATAGAGTTACATGACTGAACATGTCACTGTCATGTGTAATGTCCCAGTCATATGTATCATATGGGGAAAATTTAAAGCAGTACAAATTTTTATGCCATATTTCCTTTTGGGATTTACATATTTCTTGTTAATTAATACTTTATTTATTTCTTGGTACAGGCTCATGTATTGAGTTTGCTGAGTCACAGAAATATTATACAGTTCTACGGAGCCGTGATGGAGGAACCCAACTACTGCTTAGTTACAGGTTAATAAGACACTGTATTCATCAATATTCAGTCTTAGTCTTTGTAAATCTTATAAAAGTGGTCAATTAAGGTTCGTTGATACTCTGTACATAAGAAATTGTATTTATCAATATTCAGGCTTAGTCCTTATGAAAGTGGTCAAATAACTTGTTAAATATAATTTACGCACACATTATATCTACACTGTATTGTAAATAATACATGTACAGATTGTAAAATATGTTAGCTAAATTTCAATATTTTATTCAAAATGATAATTCACTCTCCTGTGAATAGATCCTGCAAAAATGATATTTTGTTTAATAATGTCTTTAGGTTCATTGTAATCTAATGTGTTATTCCTCAGAATTTGCAGAGAAAGGTTCCCTGTATGACTACCTACAGAATCCTGACAATGTCATGGATTTCCAGCAGATTCTTACATGGGCAACAGAGATAGCTCAGGGTAGGTGATAGTGATGGGGCAGGGGGAGGGGGTGGGGGTGGGTTACATGTCCATTTACCTGGTAATGTAATTGTCAAGGAAATGTAACATTTATATGAAATATTTAATGGAAGGATTCTTTTGATTTTGCTACATACATTTTTCTTTCTAAGTACATAAACTGAAAAGGAATGTCTCATACATGTATTAATACCAGGTAGTTAAAATTTTATTGAAAAATCTACCTTTAGAATTAACATTTTGTTTTAATATTTCAGGCATGAATTACCTGCATAATGAGGCCCCTATGAAAATCATACACAGAGACCTCAAATCCAAAAATGGTATAATTACGCCATCTTCCTGATTCTCAAATTTCAAAAAGACCATGGCAAAGACTTTAAGTATTGATGGAAAGCTTTTTATAAGAATAAGAACTTTTTTGATAGCTAGCAAAGTGTTGTCAGTGTTTGTTTTACTTATGCAATTATAGACACAAAATGTTAGGAAAAAACCCAGATGATATTTTATGAAATCTGAATTAGAAGGACAGGTCCAAATTGATAACATGCTGTTTAAAAAATGATATACATCATTACATGTATTACATGTATTGATAAAACAAAAGGGATTTTTTTTTATCATTTGCATTTAATCATTTTGGTAAACTTAATGTTTCAAAAGAATCAATAATTTTCAAAAAGTATCCTCAATTAAAAATGTAAAGGAGATACATGAAACAATTAGCTATTATTTGATTATGACGTTTTGTTTTTTTCGTAGTTGTCATCTCGGTTCAGGGTGTGTGTAAGGTAAGGCTTTTATCTCTCTCTCTCTCTGAATTTAAAGTTTTATATACATTACAGTCTTTTTCGTTAAATTGAGGTTTCAATGAGCTATATATCAAATTGCAAGGATTGGAAAAATTTGTTTTGTTATAAGTGTAATTCATTATTATATAGTTTAAGTGTTTAATATATATTTCAAAGTCAGGAGAATGAAAATGACTGTGCTGTAAGCATCAATTCATGATTTAATAAGCATGTTTGTTATAACCTTGTTTATTGTAGTCTTGAAATAATAACTTACTGTGGACAATCTTGCATTTTTTATGGATACAGCTAAGTCATTTAGACCAGTCTGCCTTAGTTTATTTTTGTTTTACTGTGTTTATTTTCTCTGTAGATCTGTGACTTTGGAGCCTCCCGGTTTATGGGCAGTACCACAAAAATGTCACTTGCCGGTACATTTCCCTGGATGGCACCAGAGGTATCAGAAGAATTAAGATGATTTAAGTAGAGTTGGGTATTGCGAAGGAAATCCATATTGCGATATATTGCAATATTTTACTTTGAATATTGCAATATATTGCAATATATTGTAGATTAATTATCATTAATAAATTTAGTAGAATGTTTGAAATGCTGTCAAGTTCAAAGACTATTTGAATTTATCTTTAAGTTTAAAAGCGGGAGGAGGGATAAGACATTGATTGCACACCAAATTAGCACTTTACTTTTAATCAAATTCCAGGTAAAATAGTAAACCAAGATGAACTCTCTTGGAGAATTTTCACATTGAAATAAAAATTTTTACAGATTATATAATCTTTTTTCATTGTCATTGAATTCTTTTTTTTTTGGGGGGGGGGGGGGGGTAGGGGGGGTGGGGGGGGGATAATGAAGTAGCATAAAATGTTATTAAAGATTAAAACAATATACAGATTAGGCCTATATGAAAATAATTTTCGTGTGGTTACAAAATAAAATTTAAAAAAACAGAAAGAAATTGTGACCTGTTTTCGTGCGTTTTGGTAATTTAGTCTAACCCGACCTAATTTCACATCAAGACGTACAATCAGGAAATGGCCTGTTTTAATACATACATGCTCCTGCTATAGCATAAGGTGTTTAAAATGGCATGAAAGTTATTAAAAATAATTAAAACTAGAGGTACTGTGAGCAATGAGCTCACTAAATGATACCCCCCGCCTCCCATATGAATATATTGGCAGTGTCCATATTTTGCTCTGGAATATCAAAAATATATGTCAGATCAAAAAGTAAAATAGGAGGTGCACAATGGCCATATGTAATAAAGCTTCTGTGAAAGTTTCATTAAATTTCCTTCAGTGGTATGAGAGGGGTTGCGGATAAGAGATGGGTATACCCCAAAGCGTAACAGACGGACGGACGGACGGACAGACGTACAGACGGACGGAAATACCGATTACTATATACCCTCCCGCTTTTCAAGCGGGGGGTATAACAACACTGCTACAAGTGAAAACATGGATGACCATTTACTTGTAATATGTACATGTATATTTAACTTGACATTTCACCGCGATGTCGATCGTGTAGATTCAATGTGAGATTTTGAGAACCGCAATGCATATGGTATACACCCTGTAAAAATGTTTTATATATTTTCTTCCTTATAAATTTTATTTTAAAATCTTATTAATTAGTACTTTTATTTCAAAGTAAGATATTCACAACTGCAACAGTGAATTCAAACTTCAAAGCTTCCACCCCCCTCTCTCTCTCCTCTCTCTTTCTCTCTCCCGAACGAAACTGACGAAGAATTCTTCAACGAAAAAGAAAAAAGACTTAGAAGTTTCCAGTTTTATTTTAACAGTTTCTACAATGAAGGAGGTTTTTATATATTTTTATAAATATCGTGAAATACTGGTATCTGATTTTCATATCCCGATATATTATCGTGGTGGATAATACCGCAATATACCGATATACCGGTAATATTGCACACCCCTAGATTTAAGTTGTATCATCAAAGATGGTGTTGTCTTAGAATTTAAACATTTACATGATTGTATGGTTACTACATTGAGTTGTCCCTCAAAACCCATAATATCCTGTAATACCGTATAAGCAGAAATTTTAGCGAGGATTTAATTTTGGCATTGTTAGCATGGGTGCCTAGATAGCTAAAATTAAATATAGATAAAAAATTAATTGAGCTTTATTTGTAAAAGCATCTTAATTAAGCTTTTTAAAATCGGTAAAATTACATCTCAGTAAAAATAAAATGCCAATTTTAAAGAACAAATCACTAAATTTGTGTCTTAAAGGTTTCCACATACAGTATTTTCTGTTTTGATATGCATGTAACTTGGAACTAATGCTGCACTGGAAGTCCAAGTGACAATGATAATGCACCTTACATGTGTTTTATTTACAAACTGTGTAGTCTGTGTGGTTTTGTTTTTAGCTCTTCTGAGCCAAAGGCTCAAAGAGCTAATGCTATGGCCATTTGTGCGGTGTGCGGTGTGCGTCGTGCGGTGTGCGGTGTGCGGTGTGCGTTAACTTTTCAGAATATGGGCCATAACTCAAGAACCCTTTGGCCAATCTGTTTCAAATTTGTCACAGGGTATCCTTGGCCCAAGGGCTACCATTTATACTAAAATAAGGGTTGGGACCCTAAAACAAGGGGAGATAATCAGGAAAACAAAACCAAAAGTACTGGTTGCAAAAAAATCTTGTTCTCCAGAACCACCAAGCAGATTTTCACCAAACTTACATACAATGATCAGGATATGTTGAAGATTAAAAATTGTTCAAGGCATGACCCTGGGGCAAAGGGAGTGGTCTCAAGGTCACTTCAAAGTTGACCTAAATTTACAATTAATGAAAACGTTTATATTTTGCTTACTATTAGGTCTAGGATCATCAAATCTTGTAAGTTGATGCATCTCAGGACTTCACATCATGTTAACTCAAAAGTAGGTCACGGTGACCTACTTTTTAAATTTTGTAAGCATTTGTTTTCAAATTGATTTGAAGGTATATTTCGGGTACTTTAAGGCCTATGATCATCAAACTTTGTCAGTTGATGCATCTTGGGTCCTTAAACAACGTCAACTTAAAAGTAGGTCACCGTGACCTACTTTTTGAACTTAATGACTAATTCTTTTTAAAACAATTAATCCAATTATTTCAGACACTGAGAGGTTTAGAATCATCAAATCTTGTAAATTGATGCATCTTGAGACCTTAAAACATTTTTATGAAAAAGTAGGTCACTGTGACCTACTTTTTGTATTTTGCAGGAATTTGTTTTTGAATTGTTTAAAAGGCTTATTTTGATTACCTTTAGACGTAGGATCATCAAACTTGGTCAGCAGATGCATCTTGTGACTTAAAAATTTTTAACCAAAATATAGGTCTCGATGACCTAGTTTCAACATTTTATGGTAATATTTTAGTATCTTAGGTATTTTTTGGCTTAGAATCATCAAACTTTGTGAGTTGATGCATCTTGGGTTATCGGTGAGTAACGAACAAAAAGTAGGTCACGGTGACCTACATTTGACATTTTATGGCTTTATTTAAATATCTATGGTAATTATTGGCTTAGAATCATCAAACTTTATGAGTTGATTCGTCTTGGGTTTTCGGAGAGTGACAACCAAAAAGTAGGTCATAGTGACCTACTTTTTACATTTTTTGGCTTTATTTAAATATATTAGCTATTTTTTGGCTTAGAATCATCAAACTTTGTGAGATGATGCATCTTGGGTTTTCTGAGAATAACGAACAAAAAGTAGGTCACGGTGACCTACTTTTGACATTTTATGGCTTTATTTAAATATCTACAGTAATTATTGGCTTAGAATAATCAAACTTTATGAGTTGCATCTTGGGTTTTCGGAAAATGACAACCAAAATGTAGGTCACAGTGACCTACTTTTTACATTTTATGGCTTTATTTAAGTATATTAGGTATTTATTGGCTTAGAATCATCAAACTTTGTGAGATGATGCTTCTTAGGTTTTCGGAGAGTGATGACCAAAAAGTAGGTCACAGTGACCTACTTTTAACATTTTATAGTTTTTTTTAAGTATCTACAGTACTTATTGGCTCAGAATCATCAAACTTTGTAAGTTGATGCATCTTGGGTTTTTGGAGAATGATGTCCAAAAAGTAGGTCATGGTGACCTACTTTTAACATTTTATGGCTTTATTTAAATATCTATGGTAATTATTGGCTTAGAATCATCAAACTTTATGAGTTGATGCTTCTTAGGTTTTGGGAGAGTGATGACCAAAAAGTAGGTCACGGTGACCTACTTTTAACATTTTATAGCTTTATTTAAGTATCTATACTTATTGGCTTAGAATCATCAAACTTTGTAAGTTGATGCATCTTGGGTTTTCAGAGAATGATGTCAAAAAAAGTAGTCATTGTGACCTACTTTTGACATTTTTTGGCTTTATTTAAATATCTACAGTAATTATTGGCTTAGAATCATCAAACTTTGTGAGTTGATGCATCTTGGGTTTTCGGAGAGTGATGACCAAAAATTAGGTCACAGTGACCTACTTTAAACATTTTATAGTTTTTTTTAAGTATCTACAGTACTTATTGATCAGAATCATCAAACTTTGTAAGTTGAGGTCAAAAAGTAGGTCATGGTGACCTACTTTTGACATTTTATGGCTTGATTTAAATATCTATGGTATTATTGGCTTAGAATCATCAAACTTTATGAGTTGATGCTTCTTAGGTTTTCGGAGAGTGATGACCAAAAATTAGGTCACAGTGACCTACTTTTAACATTTTATAGTTTTTTTTTAAGTATCTACAGTACTTATTGGCTCAGAATCATCAAACTTTGTAAGTTGATGCATCTTGGGTTTTCAGTGAATGATGTCCAAAAAGTAGGTCATGGTGACCTAGTTTTTGACATTTTATGGCTTTATTTAAATACCTATGGTAATTATTGGCTTAGAATCATCAAACTTTATGAGTTGATGCGTCTTGGGTTTGCAGAGAGTGACAACCAAAAAGTAGGTCACAGTGACCTACTTTTTACATTTTATGGCTTTATTTAAATATATTAGGTATTTATTGGCTTAGAATCATCAAACTTTGTGAGATGATGCATCTCGGGTTTTCAGAGAGTGACGACCAAAAAGTAGGTCACGGTGACCTACTTTTAACATTTTATGGTTTTTTTTAAGTGTCTACAGTACTTATTGGCTCAGAATCATCAAACTTTGTAAGTTGATGTATCTTGGGTTTTTTCGAGAATGATGTCCAAAAAGTAGGTCATGTTGACCTAATTTTTTGACATTTTATGGCTTTATTTAAGTATCTATGGTAATAACTGGTTTAGAATTACTAAAATTTGTTTGTTGATGCATATTTGGTTGTTAGAGAATGTATCTCGGGTTTTCAAAGAACGTAGACAAAAAAGTAGGTCACGGTGACCTACTTTTAAATATCTCAAATACTTATTGGCTTAGAATCTTCAATCTTTGATTATTAATGCATATTGAGTCCTCAGAAAACTTCAATCTTAATATAGGTTACCGTGATGTACTTATGGTTTTTATAGCTTTATCATTAAAAATATTTTCAGTCCTAATTTGCTAAGAATCATCAAACTTTGTCAGTTGATGCAACTTGGGTCTTAGGATACTCAGGGTTAGAGGCTTTAAATAGAAGTGATAGATTGTACAATTTATCAGAAGAGCGATTCAAGGCCCTTGGGCCTCTTGTTACAGGTGATACAGAGTTTACCTGTCTCAGAATCCTGTGATACCTGGTCCTATGGCATGGTAAGGATTACTGTACCGGAGGGGGGGGGGGGCATAATGAGAAAAATAGGATATTTGTGAGGAGATGAAAATAAAAAAAAAATTTATCCTAACTTGAGGAAAGTAATGTATTATGATACACATTTGCTTTTAATTACAGGGTAAAACAAATTTTAAGACAAGGCACATTAACTCTTTAAAAATTTCCAAATTCAATGATATATAAAATTGTTTTTTATTTTACTTATTAATAGTGTACTCATTGTGATTTTGATAAACATAGCAAAAATCTAGATACATGTTTGCAAGATACATGCTTGTAATTTTGAAATAACTGGTTCTGAGAAATGAGAGACGTAATTGCAGGTGTTGTGGGAACTACTGACACATGAGGTGCCATACAGGGGCATCAAGGGGTTCCAAGTGGCCTGGCTGGTCGTTGAGAAAGGGGAGGTAAATTTGGGGCAACTAACATAAGGTGGAATCATCATAATTCAGGGTCAATGTTCATTGGCAAGCAAAACTTTGCTGGTTTTAGGGGACATAATTTTGTGGGTAGCTTGTGTATATAAAAGATTTAATGTGTAAATAAGTTGTCAAAATAATTTTTTGATGGGATGTAAATTCATTGATAAAGGTGACCCATGTAATACGAGGGTTGTCCCGTAAAATCGTGGACAAAGTGTATTTCTCGAAAAGTAATGGACGCACTAAGCTGAAAAATTCAGTAAATGTTTATTTATTATATTTAAGTGCATGATATTTTTTTTTATAAAATATAGGCAAAAATAAAGATTTTATTATGCTTGAATGTGCACGAGGTATTGTCCTACGGCGCACGGTCAAAAAACCAAGGTTTTGTTAAAGAATACACAAATTTGAATTCAAAATAAAAGTATTTAAATACATAAGATTCGGATCAAAATTATCCTAAACAATTCCACAATCAATTTTGTAGTCTTTGTAAAAATTTTAAGGCATTTGCTTAATTTTGGCAGTTTCTCGAGCATTCGTAATGGGAAAGTGGTAAACACAACACACGAAAAATGGCGACGTTTTATGACGTTACGGCACACCGGAGAACAGTACAGTTTTATTTCGATGTTGTAATGACACCTTTAGAGACTTGAAATGACCATAGAAGAAAAAAAGATTATAAAAATATCACCATATCTTAATTATACAAATGAAATAGGAGTTTTCTTAATGAAGTTTTATTTTGATCAATTCCCTGGGTAGTACAAAACATACAGACAAACTCCTAATGTAATAGTAAAAGACGCTGTCACAGTAGACCGCCGATATATGAGATTTTCTATTAGTTGAATGATGTCGAGGATATTGTCCGTTACTTACTAATAAATCCTCAGAAGATCGCATGAGGGTGCCAATTGGTTCTTCGGCTGTTTATGGAGACGAAAGAATGTGTATCAATGAAATTCCTAAATTTAAGTCGGACTCATCCAACTTTATTTTCAGCAAAGATAAAATGTGACGTTGTTTTAGACCCTTTGACGTTATAATCCATGCGCCGTAAGGTGATACAATACATGGCATAAAATCTCATAATTTGTTTACTTATGCATATATTTATCTGAAATCTGCTGTGTATATTACTAAAATATGTATTAAATAATAGTGAACATTTCAAAACGCAGTGATGTTTATTTTTCACACTTGACAACTTGTCCACCATTTTACGGGACAACCCTCGTATATGAACTTTGATCTTAAACAAACATTGATGACTTTACAGTTTACTACATAAGTTTACTAAATACATGTAAATATGATAGAATTGATCCAAGTTAATGCATGAATAAATTATTAATTACCACATTAAGTTTTTAAAGTTATACAATATACATTCATTGCTTTAAACACACCAGTAGTATTTTATACTTTTTGTTGAACATTGTATTCAATCACTGAAATTTTTAGTAAATGAAATAAAAATTATTTCTCAAAATGAATCTACATCAATACAGATATTTTTCAGAGATTAACTATTCCCAGTACGTGTCCACCATGTTTTGCCAAGTTGATGAGGCAGAGCTGGAACACTGACCCCAAACTCAGACCCAACTTTAAGGACATCCTCCTGACATTACATTCCATGTTAAGTGATGGTATGTTGTCATTTCATGATATAGGTGTACCAAGCTCGAAAGAGCAAAGTTAAATAAAAAAAATGAAAATGATCCATAAAAATTTACACCTCATTGCATCTTTATTAAATGTAGGCCTTTCAACTGCCGCTAGGGGTCGGTGTTATGAACGATAACTCACTGCTGAAACTTGTTTAGAGCAGGCTCGTGGTATCTAACTGTTTACACGCAAGGCAGTTTTTAGCATTTCCCAAGTGTTTTTTGCTCTCAGTAGAATCCAGTGGTTTTAGAATGAAGCACCATTGTTAAGCTTATTGACTGTATACTTGCGGACACCGGTTTACTGAATATAATTAAAATTTTTAATTAAAATAAAAAGTGAAATCGACCCTCCTTCTCAGTTCTAACCTATTTAAATTTTTATACTCGGTCGTTCCCCTTCGTGCTTAGTAACACAAATAAGATGATCAATTGTTGCATTTACTTGTAAATATATACATATTTACACAGGAAGCGAAAAAGCGCGAATACAAAAAACATGACATTAAATTTTCTTCTTCATAATAATCGTCAAATAGAGTTAAATCTATTGAATATAGTCTGTTCCCCATTCATTTGACCTGTTATTTCAGGTAGAGTGAAGGCATTCTCTTCTCTTGGTCAAAACATTTTGTGTACAAAACAATGTAAGGAACCCTTTTGTGTATATAACAATACCAATGCTGAAGCAGCCTGTATGTCATTCCTATAAACGATAACCGATAAATCGGCAGTAAGTTGGTCATTTTTCACACCTGAGTTACCTGTCCTTAAATGTAACGTCGGAAAAGTCAATTATAAATGATTAAACTTTTTAATGATGTAATTTAAAGTATGCATAAGTTATAATCTTTTTTGATAATTTCATGTACCTATAAATCTATCTATACAATGTTTTTTTTACCATGTGTGCAACTTGAAAAATTAGTTGAAAGGCCTATTAAATGCTGCTTTAAAAGTATATGTTCAGCCAGAGTTCAATATAAACAGAATATCCTCTTACAATGTATTTTTTTAGGATCTTATTTTTTTTAAATAGAATAATTTGATCTTGTTTTAATTGGTTGTAGATTCCCTGCCAGATCAGACAAATTCCTTTCTAGAGCACAGAGAAGTGTGGAGGTAAGAATTTGTATTTACTTTACAGTAAAACTCACTTAAGATGCCCCTCCCTCTACTCAATTTAGATGCCTCTTCCCTCTACTCACTTAAGGTGCCTCCTCCTCCTACTCTTTTTAGGTGCCTCCTCCCTCTACTCACTTAAGGTGCCTCCTTTTTCTACTCACTTAAGGTGCCTCCTTCTTCTACTCACTTAAGGTGCCACATCCCCCTACTCACTTAAGATGCCTCTTCCCTCTACTCACTTAAGGTGCCTCCTCCGTCTACTCACTTAAGGTGCCTCCTCCTTCTACTCACATAAGATGCCTCTTCCCTCTACTCACTTAAAGTGCCTCCTCCTTCTACTCACTTAAAGTGCCTCCTCCTCTTACTTAATGTGCCCCCTCCCTCTACTCACTTAAGGTGCCATCTTCCTGTATTCAACTAAGGTGACTCCTCCCTCTACTCACTTAAGGTGCCTCCTCCCTCTTCTCATTCATATACATTTTTTTCTGGAATTCCTATGGTTATCCAAAATAATATACTGATTTATAAATATGCAAACCATGGAAACCATTCCAGTGTAGCTTTGAGGGCAATATTTGACCAAAATTTATATAGGAATGATAGAAATTTATCCAAGCTGGAGTTATTCCTCTTATAAGAGTATCAGTGAACCTTGATTAACTGATTACTAGATGATTGCACATTTTTTATAACATAAGTTGCATTGCTTTTTCAAGAACATTGATCTTTATTAAAAATTTTAAATGAATTTAACTTACTCAGATTAGGTCATGAATACATTTCAGAAAAGAAATACAAGCTACCATAGAAAGACTTAAGAGAGCAGAGAGTAATTTGACTGCCAAAGAAAGGGAGCTAATGGAACGAGAGATTAAATTGTTAGAAAGGGAGAAAACCCTGGAACAACAATTCAAAGCTGTGGTAAATATACACCAAGTAGTGTCATATGTTTTGATAGGACTGCTAGGTTTGCAGGATATACATGTAACATTATTTATATAATCATGTTTGTGTGAAATATTTGCTTAGTAGAAATATATTGTGTATACTGAATTTTTGTGAATACTGTATGCAGGGTTATTTTTGCCCCATGTTATTTTAGCCCTTTCACTCTTGCAAACAATTTTGCCCAATTTTAAATTCGCCTAGTCGTAGATTTATTAAAGAAATTATACAAGTGTATATTTTGAATTCAACCACATTTTAAATTCACCCAAATGAGAGTATGGCAAAAACTGGCGAAAATAAAAAGGGGTTGAAAATTTTCCTGTATGCAGTATCCCAGTGGTAAGTATTCTAATGTCATAATTTATGAAATTCCATGCGCCAGGTACAATTCACAACATTTTCACCTAGGGCCTTTTTTCACGCCTTTTAACTACACTAACAGATACATATACTCTGATTATTTACAGCATTTGGATTCCTATGATGTCAATTCATGGAGTGAGATAGACGTGGTAAGTTTTAATTGATCCTCATTAGTTACCATGGTATCAACTAATTGAAAAAAAAATTTTGTGAAATGTTCATGTATGATAGGGATATTTTGAGGGTTTTTTTTCTTTTTTTTGAATAAAAAGGAAGGGGGAGGGTTCTTCAAAATTCATGTTACATTTATAATGACTACAAGTATGTTTGGATCTTAATTTTCTATACAGTATCATTGCGACGAAGTAAATTGAGAAATGTTTATTTTAACAAAACAGAACAGTCATTTTAATTCTCATATATAATGATTGATATCTGTCCTTGATGATGTTTTGATTGATTTCAACCTTGGAATATTTTGCATATGTTCTTAATTATCTACTATTACTTTTAGTATCAGTGGATTCTCCAAATGCAGAATGGTGAGCATTTAAAACTAATTAAAATTTCAGAAATTTATAAATGAAATCCTTGCCCCATTCACATATTATAATGTAGGACATTTAGTAAGGCCATGCAAAGTTAATTACTTGGTTATCAGGCCTTTTTTCAAGAAATATGATGAGGGAGAGAGGGAGGCATTTTTTTTTCTTTTTTATTGCCCCCCAAAACATGATGAGGAAGCTTTTAACATTGTACAAAACCTCAATAAATGATGAGGGAGGTGATTTGATGTTTATATTTTATTGATTTAGCAATAAAAAGGGTCAATGAGGCACCCTTGGAAGAGATGAGGGAGGGCCTGAGAACCAAGAAATTAATTTTTTTTTGCCTAACCTTGCTTCATTTTTGTGCCCGCCTTGACCCTTATAATAACATAGGACATTTCACTGATCTAAGTCTAGTGACCTTGTTGTTTACTGTGTCCTTGACCCTTCACATTTATTATAGGACACTCTAGTGACCTTGCCCAGTATGCAGGCATCTTCCTTCAGCACAACATTACCGGCAAGCGACTGATGATGTTGAATCTAGAACGCATCCAAGCTATGGGCATTACCTCAACTGGGCACAGTATGGAACTAATGGTAAGTCATGGGCAGTCATAGATATGGGCAAACCTTTGTGGTTTATATAGTTTGTGTAAAATGATCATTATTTTTGTATACAGATTTTGCAATGATTAATGATAGAATTAACTTTTTAGTATTAAATCACTTCAGCTAAGTTAGAAATTGTTTCAAATCTGGCAAAGGAATTTTTATCACAGGATTATTTTATTTATTTTGATGTTTTTTTGTTTGAATTATACAAAATCCTTAATTATTTTTAGTGATTACAAAATAATAAAGTGATAACATTATTTTTTGGTGATTTCTTTGGTGTTTCTTTTAAATATTCCATTGTACTTTTTTAATTTATTGTAATTTTTCTGATTACATTGTTATTTTGGGATTATATTGTTATTGTGTGATAACATTTTAACTAAGTGATTACATTATAATTTTCTGATTATAGACAGAAATAGAATTGTTAAAGGCCCATAACCACAGGCTGCTGAATTTTCCACCGCTGTCTAAAGTAAGTTTGTCCTGTAAGAGTTATCCGTCCTTCAGCCTCTTCTTAAAATCATCTCATACTTACTTAGTTTTTATAATAACATTATTAAAATAGTAGTATCTGTTTGTAATATGATAATGAATTGCCATTACTTAATGTGAAATCAAATCATTATTTTATTGTGGGTTTGATTTATGTTCTTCTCCAAGAAATGTCAAATTTTGAAAATGTATTACTTCTTAACACTACTTCAACCATGAATTTATTTTTTCACAAACCACTATGTTTTGTTCAAATCACAAAAAAACCCAGACAACATGAAAATTTGTAATTTTTTGGTACATTGAGTAAAAAGAAAATCAATTTAATTAACAGAAGCTTATTTAATTTGTTTTATTTACTTTTTTTTCCAATTTGATATACCGTAAATCTGAAATTTTTTGCTGTAGATAAATTATTTGCAAATTTGAGAGTTCATTCTCTTCGCAAAAATATTTTTCTTAAAATTAAATCACCGATAAGGAAATGTAAACAAAGCAGTGGTTATTCGCAAAATTTTGAAATGTAAAAATTAATCAACAGCATTTTGACCCGAATTCATAAAATAAAATTGACATAAAAATTTCCAGATTTACGGTATTTATTTCATTTTATTTAGAATTTGCTTGAGTTATGATTTATTATTTCATTTATTCATAGTTCATTTTGTTCATCATTCTTTAAATGTATAACTGTTCTTTTCAGTCTGATGACATGCCAGTGGATACTTCTCCAGTTCATCGTCAGATTTCCCTCACCCTCATTTTTGGACATCATCTCAGGCAGGGAAAAAGTTTAGAGGTATGATCAGCCTTGTAAATGGCAGATATACTGTAGATTCCTAATCATACTTGTGGAATTAATTATATCATAATATCACAGAGAAACACCACCCTCAAAATAATATTACTCACTTTTATTTTTATGGTGCTTAAATATATGTAAAATCTCTTGATTAACTATCCATTCGCAAATTATTATTCTCGCGATTTGACGTTGAAGAGCCAATTCATGATTGTAAGTAATGACTCCCGAAAAATAAGGAATCTACAGTAGGTCATGCACAATAAAATTGATTGTCCTTGGTTTGTGACATCATCTCAGGCAGGGAAAAAGATTAGAGGTATGATCAGAGTTAATATTGACCGATATAATACAGAAGCAGAAATATTGGTGGGAATTAAATTTCATTTATTTTGTTGTTAATAATTATGAAGAAAAATAAATCCCAAAAGAAATTTTTCCATGACTATATTTTGCATTGGTTAAATTTAAGAACAATGAAATTTTATGTTCATGAAACCTTTTTAGATGACAAATCAATGAAATATAATGCCCACAATAATTTGTGCTTTTACAGTAGGTCATGCACTGTAATTAGGTTGCCCAAGCTTGGCTTGTAAATACAGAAAAGTCACATAAAGAATTCTTTTGATATAAACAAGCTAATAAGCCCAGGTTTCTTAGGGGAAAATAAAAAATATTTGGTGGAAAAAAAGTCTTGCATTTAAAATGAAGCATGAAAATGCAAGTAGAGCTATATTGTACCTGAAGTTAAGAAAGTGGGCTTCATATTTTAGCTGCTTTGGCACAGACATTGACGCTTTAATTCCTGAATACCACCAAGAAACATAAATACAATTTTTAGCATGGACTTGTGTAGCACTTTTATGATTATGCCAGCAACTCCATATCCATTGATTGCACTGAAGTTTAAATTTGCCAAATTATGTACAGTGTACACATAAGTAATCTATAAGTAACATGGAATTCATGTTCACCAGGGTTCATGACTTTCTATTTAATTTAGCATTTCCTCTTGGAAATTTAAGGACAAAATATATTATTGATTTTGTGGAAAAGTGGGAACATACTTTCCTTCAATTGTAACTCTGTAGTTTGTGTTGCTGAAAATTTGCTCATGTGTAAATAATTTGTGAGAAAAATGTTGTTGCATGAGCCATGATTCTCAGATGTCAATGAAGACCCACAAACATCTTATTATACAGTGACTGAATTTACTAATCTGTCGATCAAGGGTCACTGGGGGGGGTCGAAGGTCAACAAATGCCCAAAGCTTGACAGATCTGGCAGGAACAATGGTTGTTTCTTGGGGAGATGGAATTCTGTCTGACCGTTAGTGTGTAGATTTGGGACATGCTTGCTTTCTCCTACTCACATTGTTATTTCTGGGGGTTAATTTTATGACCCTCTGACAACAAGCGACTGAGGTATCTAACATCAGATCAAATCAGCTCACACAATAGAGGCGAGGTATTTTTCTCCCTTTACCCTCAGTAGGAGAAACCAACACAGAATGTCGGGCCCAAAGATAAACCAGGGGAATGCCTTAGAGATAAGATTTCAAGGCTTACAAAGAAGAATAGTTCTTTAGGTTGATCATTGTCTGTTAATGTATCTCGACTTATATTGACAAAGAAAAGGATTAAAAATAGTAACACCCTGTAGTTAATCTCTGTCATCAAGTCACATGACCTCCTCAGCCTCTCTTTGAGCTAGAGTCTGTCACTATAAATGTATTTCTACAGGTTCTAGGCATTTCACAAACTGTGTTGTTTTGGGCTTCGTAAACATCAGACTATATTTTTCAACTTTTATTTCTAGTATAAAAACACCCAAGCTTGAATATTTCTCAAGCTTGAAAACATTTTCTTGTCTACTTAAGTTACTAGGGATATTAGAATACTAGTAGTACAGCTAATTCATATGATACTGTACAAGGTACATGTAAAATTGTACTTTTGCATTTTCTGTTTTTATTAATGTTGCCTTTGTTGTTTTCTGATGCAAGAATGTCTGACCTGAGTGTGAAAATACCTTACAAAGAGTGAAGTAAGCTGAATACTCAGTTAAGGTGTTTTGTCCCTCTCAGGTAGAATTAAGGTGGTTCATCCCTCTCAAATAGAATGAAGTTAAGTTTACTTAGTTAAGGTGACTCATCCCTGTCAGATGTAGTGGATTTAACTCAGGTAAGATGACAATGTCCCTTTCAAATGGATTGAAGTTAATTAAGTTAAGTTGACTTTTCCTTTTAGATTGAATTGAATTAAGTAAGTTTAGGTGTTAGTATTCCACTAAGATTGACTTAAGTTAACTCAGTTGAGGTGATGAGGTCCAACTAAGATAGTGTTTACTAAGTTAAGGTGATAAGTTGTATTTATATAATTAAGTTAAGGTGATAGGGTCCAATTAAGATTTAGTTTACTCCCTTAAGGTGGTAAGGCCCAATTAAGATTAAGTTAAGTCTTTTTAGGTAAAAAGGTTCAAATAAGATTAATAAGTTAAGGCTGTTGAGGAGGCAAGGTCCAACTAAAATTTAGTAACTAAGTTAAGGTGGTAAGGTCCAACTAAGATGTACATAACTAACTAAAAGTGATAAGGTTTGACTTAGATATTGTTAACTAAGTTAAGGTGTTTACTGTTATGGTCAAACTTGGATAGCATTAACTCAATTAAGGACAACAGACCTAATTCGAAATTTCGCGCCACTGTGCAGGAAGTCGCGCATCTGCCTCGAATCAGATTGACGTAATTATATATTGCTAAAGATGATTGATATAAATTTTTTAATGTTTACAAAGAGTTTCATACCTCTATTCCATATTCAAAAATATTTTACACAATTCGATTTACATTCATTTGTTGATTCTATAAGTAAATGATTATTTTACGACATTTGCCATAAGCGCATGGTGAGTAAACAAAAACGTGTTGTGATGTTGATGATTTTCCTGCCTCGTCGGTTAAGCTGGCTTTGTTCATTTGAAGCTTCGTTTTTCATTAAAAAATGAAGTGCAGCAAGTACAAACATCGTCATAAACTACGGCCAAATGTACAACCCCTGTCTCTCATTATCGATACGATTCTAGAGCGGATTCTGGACCGTGGCCTGAGACAATAAGTTCAAGTTGATGTTTCTGATGGAGATGATTTGTAAGGAATTAAGATCTTTTTCTGAATAATGTCTGTTAGCCTACGTTGCCTTTTCGTCCGAAAGATGAACGAAACATGCATGATGCTAAATGAACATAAAAGTGTTTGTAAATGAAGGAGAAAACAGGTCCAGGAAAATCACTGTATTTAGCTATATAGGTAAATCTACCTATAGAGCTTTATTTACCTATAAAATATAGCTATATTTAGCTATTTTGGAATAAGTTTCTGTTTTATGAAAAGCAGACAAAAAGTCACATGTAAATTATGGCTGATATATTTTTTAAAGGTTTGATGAAAACAACCTAGGGCATAGACAGTAAAAACATTAAGTGTGATTGCCTTGCATTGTGCTCAATTATTACCAATCAATTATCTTGTTGACCAACACTGCTTTTCTTTGTTAAAGTAGCTGCTTACTCACAGATTAACTGTTATACATTATAAGCCCCAAAACTTTTAAATCTTTGATTGCAATAGCACAATAGGAGAAACATTTTTGTAAGTGGGTTTTGGGTGAATTGTTTTCAGTCCATTTCAAAGTTGAAAACTAATACTGCCTCATTATGCGATTTTTTGTCTGCCTTTCATAAAACAGAAATTTACTCTGAAATAGCTAAATATAGCTATATTATATTGGTAAATAAAGCTATATAGGTGGATTTACCTATATAGCTAAATATAGTGATTTTCCTGGACCTGGAAAACAAGAGCCCGGAATGCAAGGACCTAACAGCTGCCAAAGCTTGAAATTTCTTATGTGATATCAACACTATTCAGTATTTCATTAGGGATAGACATTAAATTTTATATTTACTTGTCCTTTTGGGCAAGTGAACTACAAATTTGACTTGTCCGAACCCAAAATTTGGTTGCCCAAAAATTTTAAAGAAGAAAATACCAGTTACCGTATCCTAATTTGTTACTGTAAATATTTAAGAGTTACAAATTAATTCCTGTTTTAAACTTAACTGCCTGGGGAAAAAAATTTTTTTTTGATATGACGATGATGCAACATTTTGTTACCGGCCGCCAGGAGGCGGTCGGTTACTTGATATGAAAGTTTGAAGTCGCCGTGCGTTTCTGCGGAGTTAGAACGATTTAAATAAAAATATTTAACATTCATATCATAGAATATTAAGCAAAGATATTTTTAATGTTTAACAAAAAGCACGATAATCATAAAATTAAAATTTTATAAATAATGGGGTAAATGTTTCATCCAATCCTGATTGCCAAACTCTGACATGATTGGAGTGCGGAGACGTTATGTAGGCATAGTCTATTAAACAAAGACCGATTTATTCATCAACAATTTTACTTTCTTTTAAAAAATTTAGCCTAATCAGGATTTGTTGTATCTATTTTAAAATGACGTATATTTAAACATTTTCTATGAAATTTTTTTCTAAAATTTGATGAAATCTTGATTTCTAAAAAGCACAGTCAGAATCTTACAACATTTTGGTTTAGGAGACTAGGATAATGCACGTTTTACAATGTGCCAAGCATTTTCCCGCCACATTTCAACACACTGAAAGAGAAGAAATGTAGTGGTGGATCTAGAGGGAGTTCGGAGGGGGGGGGGGGTTGTGTTAACATCCTCTTAAAGAGAGCGAGGAGCCACACATATTTCATATCTGTTGCGATTTTATTAAAGTTAAAACTATAGTTCAGTTTAAACTTTAGTTTTCTACTTTTATGCAAAAACTACTTAAACATCAAACTTCCACCAGAGTAAGTTTACAAGTACCAAACTGAGTGCAGAGACGCAGAGGTCTATGGACAGTTTGCTTATACATATAATATTGTACATGCATTATGCATGAAGAAAATCGGCAATGTTGCATGCAAGTGTTTCATTTCAAATTTTAAAATATCTCGCAAATTTCAATCTCTAATTACTTTATAACAATTAATTGGTTTGCGGCCGATTTTTGACGCTTGCGTCAATGTTTCTTGTAAATATATGTATCAACTTTCCTGTCATCTACTATCTTGTAAACACACACAGCAATGCACTAATAATATTTCCTTACAATTTTTTGGAAAATTTAATCCTCATCCCTCACGCTATTGAGGTCACACAAAAAGGAAAACAGTTACCATGTTTTGAATAAAGATTCATCAAACATTGAGAACAACTGGTGTTCTTTATATTCTGTAAGTGATTAAATAAACTATTCTATTATTATATTTTGTAAGAATTTGTCAGGCAAGCCAGTCTAATTGTTTGTAAACTACGAAAGAAACTGAATAACAAACCCGATTTCTAAATACAGGTACAGGTATGATCCATAAAGTTTTACGCTACCGAGGGATTCTGAATGCAAAACAATGTCACGTTTTTGGCAGAAATCAACTGTTCAATTTATTGGTTTGTTTATAATCAATGTAAGATAAAAAAAAATGTTTCTTTCAAAAATATCCACTTGCCCGATCGGACAAGTACATCGATGGTTTCACTTGCCCGAACTGAAGATTTACTTGTCCCGGGCAATCGGACAACCATTAATGTCAATCCCTGTTCATTTGGAACAGGTAACCATATTTAGATTTTTTGTTTTAGGCTAGATGTTGCATTTATCATTATGTTTTATTATTATTGTTGAATATATTTCTTTTAATGCATCTTTAGGTCTATGTAAAAATGTTAAAGATATTGGATGCAATTGCAATAGGTTGTAAATGTTAAGCAAAATACCTTTAGAGTAGCCGAGTTAATTTATAAGCATACTTAATTCTCAAAGAATATTCAACCAAGCTTAAATATAAAGCCATGCAGATAAACCTGGCTATTTACCTGCTTAGAGATGAATCAAGTAAAGTACCAGCTATGTTGAAACAGGCTGATCACTTTATTTTTAAATATATGTATTTTGTGCTAGCTTCATTCAATCATTGATAAAATTTTCCTATATAGCAATGAAATTAAACTAGCAAACTTCTTAAAAGATTTTACATGTGTGTTCTTGGTAATTCCCCTGTGTTACCAACATGTAATAATTAGAATCAAGTATGGCAGTATGCTATCTTATACGTCATATACTGTATAATCCATATTAACCGCCCCTGCCCCTATAAGCGCCCCTTAGGTCTTCTTCAATTGTCAGGAAATAAGGGCCCCCTGTATAGTAATTAAAATCAACAAGAATCGTATCAAAATATTGAAGAAAGTGAAAATTAAACTTAATATCTATTAACCAATATTTCAATGGTAATGAATAATTTAGCATAATTTGGGTGTATTATCTTCACTTTAAGTAAAGTTAGACATTATTTTATTGGTTCCTTGTATTTATTTTATTTTTTTTAAAAGATTTTTTAAAAGTTAAAATATGACATTGAATATCATAAATAGAGTACCAAAAAAACCGCCCACTTTTTACAATTTTCTAAGCATCCGGGGCGGTTAATAGGAATTATACAGTATTTGAACCCTTGAATCATTTGTTTTAATGCAAAAAGTTGTTGAATTATTAGTTGTGTATCATTCATAATTGTTTCCTCCAAAAAAGATAATAATAAGTTACCTTCATCTTTTACAGTACATGCACACACGGCTTTAAAAAATTAACAACTTAAAACTGAATCACACTGATAATACTATTTTATACAAATTCAAGATGCATGTACATGTATGTAGATCACAATACTCAAATGTATTTTGCATTTAAAATTTAAAGTTTTATTTTTTTTACCACAGAAAAAATCTGCAGACTGAGATACTTGTACTGAGGAAATACCTGCTGTTGAAGAAAAAACCCAAGACTTGTTAAGGTATGTTTTTGAAGTCTTTTAAAATGAAAACTTCACTCATGACTTTTTCAAAAGGTTAGATAAATGTTAAAAGTCATTGTCCTATTCTTTGTACACTGACAATGCTGATTAATCATATGCCTTATTCATGTTATTAGGGTGTGAATATTAATTTTTATTTTGAGTCTTTCAGTTTATTCTTTTATTTTTTTATGTGCCCCAATCGATAGATCAGAGGCGTATATTGTTTTTGTCCTGTCTGTTTGTCTGTTTATCTGTTTGTCTGTCTGTTGTCAACTTTGCTTTGGTTTGAACATATTTTATTGTTTTGATGTTATAACAACTTTAACCTTAGCCATAACTTTTAACAGATAGAGACTTCATATTTGGTATGCATACTCCACTAATTAAGTTTTCAAAAGACATCAAGGTAAAAATGACCCTTAGTTTGACCTTGACTGTGACCCTTAAGCTAAAAATAGCTTTTCAAATCTTTGTTGCCTCTGGGCACATGGTGTTTTTTTTTTTTTTTTAATTTTACCTTTGTTAACAAAATGCTAAAAATTGTGTACACTTGATATTGATTGAGTGTTATTTATTTATCTGAATATCACATAGTTTTTTGTGTATTTCAGGTAGAAACAACAATATGGTCGTCAGGAATTTTTCTTGAATTTCCAGCATTTCCAAAAATGCACCTTGCAGGCATGGATTGATTGTTGTAGCTTAACACTTGTTACAAGATTATTTAACCCTGATGAGAAGTCACAAGATGCAGTGAATGACACTTGGGAGCAATGAGGAGTGAGGGTTCTTTAGTGTGCCAATATCTGCTGTTCCAACCTTTACTCTCTCAACCAAAAGACCTCCAACTTTACAGCACCAGAATACATGATTAGCTACTGGGAAAATTTTTACATACTTTTCATATGTAACAATATTTAGGGAATAACTATCTTCTAACTTGGTATTTGCGACCGTTAATGCTGATTTAACGGTCGCAAACTGAGTTGCGACGCGTAAGCGGAGCCGGTAAAACGGATGTTTGCGACCCTTAAATCAGCATTAACGGTCGCAAATACCAAATTAGCAGATTAGTTATTCCCATTCTAATGCAACACATGCATTTTTTTGGTTGTTTACGTCTCATTTTGATGAATTTTGTTACAATACGTCACGGAGCATTGTGTTTTTGCGTCGCTCTATTATGACGTCACAATGAAATAGCTTTCACGCTCGTTAATGCTCGTTTTCTGCTAGAAACATGACGCATTAGCCAATCAAAAAGTGTTTTACAAATCTATTGCATTAGAATGCAAGTTTACCGTGTTGCTCTACATGTAAACAGCATGTACATCATTTTTTAGATATACAGATGTGATGAAATAATTAGGAACTCTAGTTAGTGTACGGTTAGTTTTACCCACATGTATATATGTTATATCTATAAAAAAATAGTTAAAAAAATTAAAGTTTGAATATAAGGTAAAAGCTAATACATGTAGCTATTTAAAATGACTGAGTGAAATCATTATAAACAAACCTATACAAGTAAAATATTTTTGTATATTAAATTTCATCAATACATGTTTTGGATACCGAATGGTACTGTCTGATATTCCATAGTTAAATCTGTCATACCTGTCATCATTTTGTCCTGAAATGTGAAATACTTTATTAATAAAGTATTTTACCTGTGTGTGAAGTTCTTATACTTTTACAATTATAGTAGCCTAGGCTCAGAGTAAAATAACACAGGTGCATTATTGTCAAATTTTGCGAAAACATTCCCAGATTACAAATTGATAGATATTTCAGCTCGGGTAGGGAGGGGGGGGTAAGGTGGGACACAATAGGGGATAAAGTTTTATCTAGAAATACCAAGAAACAAGATGTGTTGTGAGACACTGATGCCCCCGTATGGCAACATAGCAAAGATGAAGCTTTTTCTTAAATGCAAATTTAAAAAATTGGTACCAAGAGTAGGGTATTCTCACTGGAAAACAATTGTGAAATTTGAAAAGTAAGCCAATGTTAAAGTTCTATAATAAGTACAAAAATCTTCAAGGCCAAGGTCAAAAGGTCAATGTAATTAGTATCAAATGAAAGGTAGAGCATGAAAGCCCTAGTCCTAACCGTTCAAAAGTTATCTCCAACGTTCAATTTTTTAAAAAGTAGGTCAAACTCCCAAGGTCAAAGGGTCAAAAATTCTTGTTATCAAATGAAAGTTCATGTCATAAGGATCAAATTTGTAAAGTATAAAGCACTAGCCCTAACTCTTTAAAAGTTGTGGTCAATGTTTGCTTTTTTAAAGTAGGTCAATCTCAAAGGTCAAGGTCAAAAGGTCAAAGTTCTTGGTATCCATTGAAGGGTCTTCTCACAAGGATTACATATATGAAGTATGAAAGCCTTATCCCTTACTATTCAAAAGTTGTGGCCAAGGTTAGGTTTTTGTCACAAGTACAGAAATCTACAAGGTCAAGATCAAAGGGTCAAGAGTGTTGGTTTTCAATGAAAGGTCTTTCAACAAACATTACATATGTGAAGTATAAATGTCCTGGTGTCTACTGTTCAAAAGATATGACCAAAGTAAAATTTTAAAGTTTTCATGTAAAAGTGGGTCAAACTCCAAGGTCAAAAGGTCAAATTTGGTGGTACTCAAAGAAAGGTCTTGTCACAAGGAATACACATATGAAATATGAAAGTCACAGCTCCACTAAATCAAAAGTTATGGGCAAGGTTAAAGTTTTGCGGACAAATAGACAGCTAGACAGCTAGACAGACGGACGGACACGACAAGAACTATAAACCCCGAAACTTGGTTTAAGGGGGCATAAAAATCTTAGGTAGAAATATATGTACTGGTTCAAATGGGGGCCCCAGGGGTAGGGTTGGACTATAATGTGTGAGGGGGTGTCAAATGAATAAATTAAAAAAAAATATCTGCTCAATAACAGCAAAGCCAGTTGTTATATTTATATGGAAGCATCATCAGGTTGTTTAAAATTCAAGCCCCCCCCCCCCCCCATCCAATGTGAACTCTCAATACTGAAGTGATTTTTGCTTTTTTTTCTTTAGCCAGTGTGCTAAGGTGAGCAATGTCGCCCATGAGCCTTTTGTTTTTCTGTACTATTTTCGTGATGAATGCATCAGTATTTGACTATTTGATCATATACAGTAAAGCACGCATATAACGAAAAATCAAAAACACCTATCTTGAAACAGTCCCTTATACTTAAACTTTTACTATCTATGCTTATTTTTAAGGCTTTCAGATATTGATTCCCATGGGACGTGGGTCACAAAAATCGTACTTTGAGACAACCCTTGAATATTAAATACGCATTTATTTCACATAAATCCTACTTTATCACCATCCTATAGTTTTAAACAACCTTAAATTATTATTATTTTTATTTGGAATAAAAGTAAACTGAAGAATAGGGAAATAAAACAACACAATTTTTTTTGCCAAGGTATGTTCAATAAAAAAATCCTCCAAATTATGCTATTTACCGGAGATTGACATACCCCCTTTAAAAGGCCGATGACCTATTTTAAATTATTTTTTGGCATAATTTACTAGTAAATTATCTTGTTAACATTGCCTTTTAATATGAATAAAAATTCTATTGCAAATATTTTTTTTTAATTATCACTTTTATACGTCAAACTCGCATTTTCCCATTACTTAATTCCTATAGTAATCATCGATTTTCGTTGCCTACTTTTGAAACGCTCCCTATTAAAAATCTATATCGATGACCATATATTTTTTCATCGATTTTAACTCACAAAAAGTCACATTACCTCATATTAAAATTTGAGTAAATTTTCTATTGTAGAAATGAATTAGGTCCGTCGTCGTTAAATGAGTGTTGTTTTATTTTGTTTTCAGTATAATTCCAATCTTAATTTTATTTATATGTTGCAGGGGTGGTTTATATAGGATGTAATAACAACCAAACTCCTGTCTAAGGGTTCATATATGTTTAATATGGATGTTCATCAAGTAAATGAATGGCCCTATAAAATAAAACAATAACAATGAATATCACATGAAATAATAACAAATGTATACATGCATTCTATTTTACTTATTTTGATGTACAAAAGATAAATTTAACAGTTAAGAGTTATCTCTCTTAATTTAAATATTTAGCATAAAAATAAATCACTGTATAGTTAATCTTTATACACATATTTTACAATCACATTTCAATTAATGCAATGATATAATATTATTACTTTAAAATATACAAAAGGTAACATATGCTAATTACCTATCTATGGGACAAGGCCCATTCCTTAAAACCCAAAAACTACTGGATGCTTCAGCTTACATATCTAATAAGAAATACTATAAACTGTACTATATATAGTACAATACTCATGATTCAAATAAATATATATCTCTGAGATGATAATGTGGTAGTTGTACTTAGTTTTATTTATTTAAAATGTATATTATTTTATTCAGAACATTCACTATTATTTATTCATTCATGCATTTTCATAGCCTGGGATTATCATTTTGTTTAAAAACATAAACATCCCTTTTAAACTAGATGCTGTCATGAGACAGTAATACCCGCACTAAGGTGTTTGCCTCAAATACAC